AGGACTGTTACAGCCATTCCAAGCCACCACTGAACGGCCTATGTTCTCCCAATATCAAGGCTGTGGTAATGCCACCACTGCCACAGACATTTACTGTGTACCAAAACTACACTAAGGCTCTACGTGCATTCTCAGTCCAGCTTCCCAGAAATTCTTAACATCCCTGAACCTAAAGGACAGAAAGGTGAAGTAACTTGCCCCAGTCACGCAGCAGGGAAGTGCAGAGCTGAGATCCACGGGCAAGCAGTCTGCACCCCTCCCCCATTGCACAGCCCTGCCTGCAAAACTGTAGCAAACCACGTTTCAGTCCATACCTAGTCTTCCCATTAACTGGACCTGGGCCAACTAAATACCTAACCTATTATTACTAGTCATGAAAGTGCCAATGGAAAAAAGCCATGTCCCCAAAAATCAAAAAAGAAATGAAGACTTAAGGACAAAAGGAGATGCTTGAACCCTACGGCGGGTTCCTCAACCCCAGCACTGCTGACAGTCCGGACAGGGTGACTTTCCTTTCGGGGTGGGTGGCCTGTCCCGGACACTGTAGGTGGTTAGCAGCCTCCCTGTCCGCTACCCACAGGGTTCAGCGGCACGTGCCCCACCGAGATGTGCAACAAAAAATGTCTCCGACACGGCCAAATGATCCCCAGGAAGCAAAATCACCCCAGTCCAGAAGCAGTGCTCTAAGATTTCCTCAAATTAGAAAAAAGTGAGCTAACTGGCCTGACTGAATTTTTCTTTGCTTTTGATAATTTATGTTAAACCAATAGCCCCTGTTTTTGAGCTGATCTCAGCCACTGACCACCAGAACAATCCAGTAAATCCACGGCGGCCCGTTCCCAGAGGATGGGATGTTAATCTAATCTTACTCCACGAAGGGTCTATCAGTGCAATGATTCCAAATGAGGACAGCAGCTCACACCCCAGCTCACAGTGTTTATGTCCAAAATACGGACAAACTGTTAACAGCTGCGCTGAGCCTCCTCACACACATTTCTTCCTACAACCCCAACTTTAGTTCCTGTCACCCTCTTTCCTAAGGGATCATGAAATAAAGAAGAAAAACCAAAAAAACAGCCCATGGTATGCCTGCTGTGGTTTTGCATTAGAACTCAGACAGTCATAGTTCAAACTCACAGGTGATATTTTTCTCTGATTGAATGACAAGCAATATAATTCCTCCAGGACTTTAAATCACCGAGGCTAGCGATTCTCAAACCAGGGTACACAATGGAATCCTCTGAGAAGCTTTGAGGGGAAGGGAAGAAAACACACAGAGTCCCAGAGACACTAAAGCCTAGCAATCTGTTTTGAAAAATTTCCCCGGGCAATTCTGCTGTGAGTCAGGTTTGGAAACCACTGATCTGGACTCCGCAACTCTTCACTGCACAGAAGTGCAACCTGGAGCCCTGGCTGTGGTGGCTCACTGGGTTACGTGTCGGCCTGTGAACCAAAAGACTGCCGGTTCGATTCCCAGTTAGGCACTGGGTTGTGGGCCAGGTCCCCAGTTGGGGGCATGACAGAGGCAACTGATTGCTCCTACATCAGTGTTTCTCTCCCTCTCTTTCTTCTTCCCTTCCTCTCTCTCTCAAAAATAAATAAAATCTTAAAAAAACATTAAAAAATTGTTAAAGGTTTAAAAAAAGAGAAGTGGAAGCTGGAGAGGTAAAGAACTTGCCTACAGATTCCACACTACTCCTGGTGTCGAGGAAGGACTGCGCTCGAGAATACGAGTACACACCCCACTATGGGACAGCAAACACACGGTCAGACACAGCTGGGTCATGGAACCACATCAGACCTCAGAAACCTGGCTCGACAAACACACTGGGCCTCATCTGAGCCCCCCACCAGGCTCCTTCTCACCTTCTTTCCGTATTTCCTAAGTGCTCGAAGTTGCTTAGCCTTTTCTGATTTCTCCATGGCGGCCTGTTTAGCCTGCAGCTTCTGTCGAATCTAAAACACAAAATGTTGTCAGCTCAAATCATTTAAATCTGGTATGCCCACTGCTTTGGGTGCACTACAGCAGGAAACAGATATTCCTATTCTGCAAACTCTGGAGCTCAAAGGAACCTTTTAAATCATCTGTTGTTCCAAGACCCAGGTTTTACCCATGAGGGCAATGCAACCCAAAGACTGAGCACTTTGTCAAGACATATCAGCAGTGAAACTAGGAATTGAAAGCAGCCTTCCCACTCCTAGTGTGCCATTTGTTCCATTATACAAAACTGCTGCTTGCAGTTTTGCCAAGAGAAATGAATTTCTGCCCATCCCTACTGTCTGCAGACTGAGGTTAAACTTGCGCACAGCCCCAGTTCCCTTCCCCAACATACCAGATACATGCTAAAAACTCCCACGGATATCAGGCACCTAGCCTTTTCCATCAAATACACACATTTCAGTTAAAGGAAGAGCAGCTGTCAGTGTGAATGCACAGGACTAGCTTCCCTAAGTACCACCAAGATAAGAGCTCCCTACCATCCAGCTTGAGACCCAAGGGAGCTATTTCAATGCACCTGGGATGAGATTTTGGCAATTCTCTTCCTCCCAAAGTTAAATAAGGACCAAGTTCTACCTAACTCTAAATTATACTACATCTGAGCCATATATGGATCCCTCATTTTACAGACAACTGAAGCTCAGAGAAAGTGAATTGTCTGCAAGTTGTAGCACTGCCACCTGCCAACAGCTGGATGAGGTCTATGTTTTTTCTACACATCATGCCATGCTCATGCCAGCTAGGAAATGCAAAGGGTCATCTTTGCCTTGGGGACCACACTTCTTCCGCTGCTTTTCCTCCCTTTAATTGTTTAAATCAGGAAAAAGTCATCCTTATATTTACCTAATCAGTGGTCTCAAGTAAACAGAAATAATAATTGTCCTCTGAGAAACTGGTTCCCTATTATTAAGCTTAGTATTTTTTAAACATTATAGGTGATTAGCCTATATACTTAAATATAGGTATATTTAAATATACTTAAATACATTAGCTAAATATACTTAGAAGTACAAAGGCTCAGTTGTCTAGAAAAAAAAAAACAAGAACAAAAAACAAAACCTTCCCTTCTTCTTACCTTCTGCATCTGCTGATCTGACTTGGCCATTTCTGCGAAATAATCAGTGGGCCGCTTAGTAGGGACTTTGAGCTGATGGAGACGGGGTAATACTGCAAGCACGGCAGCCTGGGCCTGACGGTAGCTGAGGATATAGGACCAAGTGTGAAATAAGCTCCCCCAAGTGAGGGAGGCCTTACATTCCTTCTCCTGCCTCTCAGGAGTTATCTATCCAAGGTCAAAAAGACCCTCAACATCTGACCATCACCAGCAAGAACACACACACACAAACAAAAACTGTAATAAATAAAACCTCATTAACTTGGTATCTGGAAGAAATTTAACTGTGCACTCTTTTTAAAAGGGGGGGAGGCAGAAGTATTGCTGAAAATGAATTGGTTTAAGAGAATGACCATTCTAAAAGTAACTATCAACTTACAAACTAATGCCAATTACGAATTCTTACGTGGTCTGTAATCACTAAAAAAGTCCACATAAGAACCTTCTATAAGAAAATTTTTGTTCTAATAATTGTGCGCGGGCACACACACACACACACACACTAGCTCTTTTCATCAAGAGAAGCCTTCCTCCTTACTCCCAAGTTTCTTATATCTTCTGAAAAGTATAGGTTCATTATTCCACCCCTCCACCGCCACCCGCCCGCTGCGCCACAGTATCACAGGGACCCATGACTTCCCCCACATTTGAAAACATACAAGCTCATTTCCCGCTGGAAGTCATCTTCTGGATCCACAGCTTTCTGATCCTTGTTCTGAGGTGTTGACTGAGGTCCACCGATTTCTGGCACCGGACCGAGGGTGACATCAAGCCTTTCAACCCATTCCAGATCTCGCTTGAATTCTGTCAAACACTGCTTCAGGCCATTCTAGGAAATTCAGACACTGAGCTCCTAAGAAGGGAAGCCTTAAGAGTCTCTCCCAAGCCCAGGGTACTAGGCCAGCCGACAAAGTGCTAACCCCCGATACCGCAACAGGTAATGGACCCTCTCGACAACGCGCGCGTTGCGTCCTTTCTTGGACGAGAACTCGGCCACCCAAGCACAACTGTTCCATGTACTCATCTCACGTCCGAGTACCCCCGACCTGGCGCCCGAGCTCACCACGTCGTTCACCGCTTTTTTCGGAGCCTCGAGCACGGCATTGAGGCCTGGCTTCAGGAGCCCTCGGGAAAACGCATCCTGCAACTGCAGGGCAGGATCGGCTGTCAGTACCAGGGGAGTAAGACCGCCTCCCGCGCCCAACCCGCCAGCTCGGCTGACACTTACCTCCTTGTCAGTGACGAAAGAATCTTCAGAATCCGAGTCTGAGCCAGAGAGCAGGGCACTGTCCATGTTGCAGCGCACACATCCAACACTAACCAAGGAAGCAGAGTAGGCTGAGGCCCGCGCGGCTGGAAAAGGTCGCCTCTCACTGCTGCCGCCTGCTTCCAGCCCCTGACCCGAACCACGCAGCTCCACGTGGACCCGAACCACTCTAGCTCCACCAACCCACTACTGCTGCTGAATTTCTTGCTCGGACTTCCGCTTCCTGCCGTAGACCCACACTTCCGGTTTCCGTTGCTATAGGAACCGCTACGGCGTCTGAAAGTGCCCTAGCTGCTTGGGATCCGTACGAACACTCCCCCTGGATACACGTGTGGTTTGGTGACTCAAACAGGAGAAGTCAAAGGTGAGAGGGGATACCCTGGAGTCATTCGGAGGAGCAGGAAGCCGCGAGGGTAAAAAGGAAAGGGGAGAAGCAGGAGCCGAGCCTAGGGTGAGAGTGAGGGGCACTGGGAACGGGGGCGGGGGTGCGAGGGAAAAGAATCCGGGGGCGGAGTCAGGGGCGTGTCCTGGGTGGGGCGGAGTGGGGTGGAGAGGGGCGGAGCACTAAAGCTCACCTGCAGTGCTCAGGCTTCACCGAACCAACTCTTTGTCCAGAAACCATGTCGACCGTGGTTGCACTTTCGCAGCATGCTTTTGGTCTTCGATCCCACGTGAGCAACAATATCTGCTTCTTCGATGAACAGATCATTATATTTCCTTCAGGAAATTACTGTGTGAAGTACAATATAGATCAGAAGTGGCAAAAATTTATTCCAGGTAAAACCCTTTCCATACTGACACATTAACCTTTTGTGGCAAATATAATCTCATAATTCCAACACGATTATTGAAAGGGACGTGTTTCGGCCAACTTGAATAAACACATAGTTCTCTAAATGTAGAAGAAATGCATGGCTACTTGCATTACAGGTAAAAATATGCAGATGGTGTTTTATTGAGTCATACACTTAATACCTGCATGGTTTTGTGAACCAATGTGACCTTGATAAATTCGGTTTAAAGATAAATATTTTAAAAAGTATTTTTTCACAGTGATTTAATGAAAAAATTGCTTTAAAGAGCCTCTCTTCATACTTCCTCAATATCATTGTTTTCGTCATCACCAGGCCCACTTTGAGTTGTCTCACAGTTTTACACAGTACACTACCCTCATTCCAGCACCTTCTGCATGCATGTGTGATGAAGATACTGGAGATTCTATTCCAAGTCACAAATAATCATATGTGTAATGCTACATTTGTTTTTGTTCACCCTGGTCCTGTTGATGATATGCTTGATTTCCACAACTTAATCACATTCGCATTTTCCACTCTTAGTTGCAAGTAGTTTTAACATTCATGAGGTCTGTCCAGGAAGTATCCACCCATGTACTATGAAAAATAGAGACATTAATGTAAAAGATATAAGATACAAGAAACATTGTGCATAGGACAATGGCACTTCAGTCCCCTTCAGAGTAGGCACCTTGGGACCTTAACAATGACTGGACTTTTTCTGAATGAACCTCATACCTGTAAGCCCATTAAGTTTTGTTTTTGCTATTTATTAACTTTATATAAATGGAATCATAGTATATGTAATCTCTGACTTGCTTCTTTTGTTCAGTATCTTGCCTTTGAAATCATGCATCTTCATACACATTACATGCATCTTGAGTTTATTTTATTGCTACTTAGTGTTCCAAGCTATGAATCTAATGTCTCAAATGTGTCCGTCAATTCTGGTGTTAATGGACTTTTGGGACACAACATTTTTTTTGCTATCACAAACCATGCCAGTATAAAAGTTTTGCATTCATGTATGCTTGTCCACTTGTGCAGGAATCCTCCAAGGCACACAGCCAGAGCTAAAACTACTGAGTAATATGGTAGTACCTATCTATACCCCCACCGGGGGTGCTCAGGACTTGCCGTTTCCCAAAATCTCACCAACTTTTGTCCAGTTTCTTAATTTTTTACTAATCCGGTGATTGAGGAAGTATATATTACTGGTTTTAGTGTGCATTTCTTTATTACTCATGAGGATGAATATTTTTCACATGTTTATGGGCTGTTCCTATTTAGTCTTCATTGAAATGCCTTATTCATGTTATTTGCCCATTTTTCTGAGGGATTTGGGGGGTAATTTTCTTACTGACTTATGAGCACCCTTTCTATATTCTGTTTACCAATACTTTGTCAAATATATGTACTACACTAATTTCTCCCAGTTTGGAGCTTGTGTTTTCTCCCTCCTTAGGGTATTTTGATGGGTAGAAATTCTTAGTTTTAACGAAGTTCACCAACCTTTTCCTTTTTCTATCTTGTTTGGGAATTATTCCCTTACCCAAGATTATTAATATATTCTCCTATATTATCTCTATTATGCTTTATACTTTTGTCTTTCACCTTTGAGGCTCTGAGATAGGTGGGTGCTCAGTGTGTTCGGGGAATAGCAGGGAAGCCAGTGTGGCTGGAATGGAGTGAATGGAGGAGCAGGGAGTGAGAGGTAAGGCAAGGAAGTAATGGGAGCAGTACCACACAGGGCTTCGTAGGTCATAGGCTCTCACTTTGCATGAAATGAGAAGTCAGGGGAGGATCCTAAGCACAGAGAGCAACATGATCTGACTTCTGTTTCAACAGGTTCATTTTGGAAACTGTATAGATAATAGATTTAAGGAGGGGCCAGAGAGGACGCAGGAGACCAGCTGAGAAACTATTGCTATAATCCAGATGAGCAAAAACGGTGTCAAGGAGCAGGTTGTAGGTGATAGAGATGGTGAGAAGAGATCAAATCCTGGATACATTTTGAAAGTAGAGAGGACAGATTTTCTCAGAGGCCTGGTGTAGGGGGGAAGAGAAAAAGAAGCAGCAATGTGTTTGGCCTGATTAGCCAGAAGGATAGTGTTGCTGTTAACTGAGACAGAGGACCTACCCACAAAGCACAGAAGACACAGAGCTTAGGGCCCTTGATATATTCAAGGACCCAAGGAAATATTTTAATTTTAACTTATTTTAAAATCAGCCCTGGCTGATGTGGCTCAGGGAATTGAGTACCGACCTGTGAATCAAAGGGTTGCCAATTTGATTCCCAGTCAAGGCACCTGCCTGGGTTATGAGCCAGGTCCCCAGTACGGGGTGTGCGAAAGTCAACCACACATTGATGTTTCTCTTCCTGTCTTTCTCCCTCCCTTCCACTCTCTCTAAAAATAAGTAAATAAAATTAAAAAAAAAATAAAATCAGGAAAAAATAATATAATAATAATAAATGTATCATAATGAATGCAGCCTGGATATATTTTTTTATGCCAGTGCAATCACAAAATATACTTTTAAACATTCTTTAATGGAGGAAGGGTCTCCTGAAAGCAATAGCACCCAGAGCCCACGAAAATTGTAAGGTGACCTTGATTGCATTTCCTAAATAGAGTATCTACACTTTAACCTTTGCCTCGGGTATTGCTAGGTAGAGGATCATAGCTTTCATTCTCATGCTTACTTCATTGTTGTAAGATTACTGCTGTATTTCCAGGCATCACCTCTCTATTCCAGGGAAAAGAGGATAGAATGCATTTATCCCTGATTTTCAAGAAAGCAAAGGCTTTACCAGAAAGCTAGTCCAGCAAACTTCTACTTCTGTCTCATGGCCAGAATGTCACATAGATCAGCTAACTGAAGGGAGGCTGAGGAATCCAGTAGTTAGCGTCCCAGCCTTGAAAACAGAGGAAGAGTATTGAGTGCTGCCCACGCAGGGCATAAAGGCCTGTGTGATCTGACCCTATTCCATCCTTCTAGACCTATCTGTGGCCACCCCTGGCTCACATGCAATGCTGCAGCAGTATCCTACTTTCTCACACCCTCGCCTTTGCTCTTCCTGCCACCTGCCCCATTCCCCTCCCTGTCCCACTTTGTCCTCCTTCAGGAATTGGTTCCCCTCCCACCTTGGCCTCCGGGAGGTGCCCATTGTAGTCATTTTCATCATACCTCAGGCATAGTTGTACCAAGGAACTTCACGGGTTGGCAGTGACCTATTTCTGTACTTGTCCCCTGTTACATCAGCAGAACCTACCACCGTGACTCATTCAAGTTAAACCTTGGTGATCAACCCTCATTATTTCCTTTTACCTGTTTGCAGGCTCAGACAAGAGTCAAGCCATGTTGGCCTTGTCCATCAGCCCTAATCGGCGATACCTCGCTATGTCCGAGATAGTGCAAGAAAAACCTACCATCACCATTTATGAACTGTCATCCATCCCTTGCCGGAAGCGCAAAATCCTTAATAATTTTGACTTTCCAGTTCAAAAATTTACTTGCATGGCTTTTTCTCCAGACTCCAAATACCTATTGACTCAAACATCACCTCCGGAGTCCAACCTTGTCTATTGGCTGTGGGAAAAACAGAAAATAATGGCCATTATCAGAACTGACACTCAGAACAACCATGTCTATCAGGTACCTCCCAGCATAACCAGTATCATGCAAATTATAAAAATAAAAGAATACGAGCAGTCTTTTATTGAATGCTTTGTATTTAGCAGGAACAGCGCTAATTTCTTAATACACATTTTTAAACCCAGTCTCACGAAAACCATGTATGGTATGCATAATTATCCCCATTATACTGATGAGGGAATGGAGGCCCCAGGAGGTTGTTACTCACCTGAAATCCCAGAGGTAGTGAATAGCAGACCGGGAGCCCCTGGCCCCAGTGCCTGTCTTCTCTACTCTGGCCTAGGACTGCTTTCTGGTCACAGGTCAGACCCAGAGGTGAAATGATCAAACTTGCCCTCTCTTTCTGGTTCTGGCCCCTTTCCAGCAGCATTGCTAGGCAGTGGGAAGATTTCAGGGATGTAATATGAAGTGGTAGATCTTAAAAAGCTTTCAATGGAACTGCAAGTATCTGGGGAGCAGAGTTTTCTATTGTAGAGTGAAGGCAAAATGAAGACCACCTGTTAGTAAGCAGGTCCCTGCTGAGGCCACGGGTCCCAAGGAGTTTTATCTTGGTGCAGGCAACACAGTCCAGGATCTAGAACTCAGCTTTACAAGTTTTCAGGAACTCAGTTCTGTTCATGTTCAGAGATCCTGGCTAGTCAGTGTCCCAGGCGTAGACTCAGTTCTTCTCGCACAAGGCCGGTGTATAAGCCAGCACGTCAGGGCCAGAGCACTCACATCGTTTATCCAATGTGTTTCTTCCCTGGTCATAGGGAACTTGGAAGGTGAAATTAGCAATCAGAAGGCTTGGTTGTCACAGAATCAGGTAGAACCAGGAGGTCATTTCCTCCAGGCCACAGTGAGGCCTGTGCAGCAGCATCCCCGTTCAGAGCTTCTCCACTCCAGTAGATTCAGTGCTCACTTGTTGGACGTCCACCAGGAACCAGCACTGGGAGTACAGAGGTGAAAAAGCCACAGTCCCTCAAGTTGCTCACCATCTAGTGGGGGTGGCAGGTTGACTGCCCGTTACTGCGTGTTGGATTGTGGGTGCAGGTAAAGCTCAGTGGGTAGGAGACCGCATAGCAGTCCCTGACGTTGGTTCCTTCCCCCGCGACAGGGTGCGTTTACCTGCCAGATCCTCATGCTTCTGTGTCTCCCCCGGAGCGTTCGTTCTGTTTTGTTGGCACAGCGTCTGGCCGTTGTCAAGACCTGCTCATTTTGGTTTCGGCCTTTGTAAAAATGGCTTTTCTATGTTTCCTAGTTTAAAACAACTGGCCCCACAAATACAATGAGTATAGATCTGTGCTCTTATCAAATATAATATCAAAAGTATATGAGTTAATGATGTTTCAAGGATACTCTGGGCTACCTGAAATAAATATTAATTAGCAAAATGAGAAATAACTCCATCGAGATTAGTTTTATAAATCTTTGTCTTTTATTCTTTAACATTTTATAGGTGAGCTTCAGTCCTCACGATAATACACAGGTTTGCGTCACTGGAAATGGGATGTTTAAGCTTCTCCGTTTTGCAGAGGGAACCCTGAAGCACACCAACTTTCAGAGGGGAGAGCCCCAGAACTACCTAGCCCATGCCTGGGTGTCTGATGACAAGATTATCGTCGGCACTGATACAGGCAGGCTCTTCCTCTTTGAATCTGGAGACCTACGCTGGGAGGCAAGCATCATGGTCCAGGAGTCCATCAGTGACACAAAGAATCTGGAAGTGATCCAGGAATCAGAGAGGTAATGGCAGTCCCTGGGCCAGGGCTCTTGTGAAAATATACTCATCATACTAGTAGCATTACACCAAAACCAGCATTCTTTTAAAATGACTCCTATCCTCTCTACTTTAAAAATCAACTCTTTGTCTTCCCTCTGCCTTTCTAGTGTCCATCTGTCGTCAAGCACAAATTTGACCATCAGGACCATAGCCTAGATACAGTTCTTTTTATTTTCATACCTAACCTCATTTTTTAAGTATTTTAATAGTCCTCAAAAGCTACAGATTTCCAAAAATTTCTTTTCTAATGGCTACCTAATTTACTGAATCAGTTAAATAAACATCCACCAAGCCCTTGCAATGCGCATAGCATCTTGCTAGGCGCCGGGGAAACAGATCCTCCAGGACCTTACAATTCAGTAGGAGGCCACAGACCAGCAAAGAAGGGCAAGAAAATGTCACCAGTAAACCTGACAGAAGAATATGGGCTAAGGTGGGGGCTCAGGAGGGAACTGTCACTGTTACCTCCACCACGACCAACAGTCTCACACACACACACCGGAGTGTCCCATTGTATGTCCTGGGCACCGCCTTAAGCACTGTATTTTCTTAAGGTTTTTAATTTTTTATTATTCACATCATAAATTAAGTGGATGAGACTCATAGAGCTAAATGTCTTAAGTGTGTTATTTGAAAGAAATCTGTAGAAGTCTTTTGAAATACAATATTTAGAAAAATTAGTCTCCTTTTTTCACAGCAGCTAGTGGACAAAAAGTTTCTTTCTGGCTGCTAGCTACATTTTTTTCTTTTTAATTTTATTTTTATTATAATTAAAATTTTTCATTTTAATATTTTATTGTTTATGCTATGACAGTTGTCCCACTCTTTCCCCCTTCACCTTTGTCCACCCAGCCCGCCACCTTGAGCACTTTACATGCACCCTCATTTGCGTCTTACATTGCAGAATATGTATTATCATCATGCCCACTTTACAGACAAGGAAGCTGAGGCTTAAAGAAGTGAACTGGCTCATCCAAGGTTACAGCACTGTCCAGTAACAGGGTCCAGAATAGAACCCAGATCTGTCTGACTCCAGAGCCTGAGCCCTCAGCCACAATGGTGTACTGTAGCTCCTTCTTTCTCAGTAACTTTTGGTTTGCCATTTTCACCACCCCCCATGCCAATGACACCTCCTTTTCTGTTGTGATTTGGTTAAGAGCTTCCTAATGCCCTCCACTTTGCTGTGTTCACAATCCTTCAGTGGGTCCAGGGCTCCGAGAATAAAGCCCAGAGTCCTGAACTTGGCCCACACGTCCCTGCTACTCTGACCCTTCTTTACATAGAGGGCATTGGCTCTGTCCTCTACCAAACATGCAAGCCTCATGAATGGTCTTGCCTCTGGGCTCGATTGTATGTAGTTCCCCTGCCCTCACCCAGCACACCCCACTTCTGTAGTCACATACACAACACCTGAGATAAGATTGCTTGTTCTTCAGCTCAGCCTCTGCTCATCTCTGGTAGGTGCACCTTCTCTGTAACTGTCCTAGACTATAGCCTCCTGAAGGCTGGAACTGTGTCAATCTCATTTACCATTGTCTCACAGCGTTGTTAACACAGTATAATGCCAATAAATACTGTTATATGAGTGAATGAATGAATCAATCAATGTGGGGGCAGAGGGAGGGGAGGGAGGGAGGAAATGGACACTTTGATTCAAATCTTAGCTCTTCCACTTACTAATTGTGTGATTTACAGAAACTCAAGTCCTTGAGCTACTTTTTTTCTAAACACTAAAATGAGGATAATATAATAATAATAATAATAACAATAACAACAATGATAATATTAGTGACCACACAGGACTGTGAGACTAACAAATAAATGTGCAACCTTCCAGTCTTCCTTTGGAGTTTGGGTAGCCTTCCCAGGGCAAGGGCAGCATTCCGGCTCTGGACAAGGGGCTTGCACTGGGTGGCTTCTCCCACACCCAGAGACAGCCCTGCTTTTTCATCCCGAGCAAAATTCATCTCCTTGTGATTGTGTCAGTAAACTTTACATGCAATTTTCTTTTTCTAGCTTGATTGAATTTCCACCGCTCAGCTCCCCAGTCCCTTCCTACGAACAGGTCATGATAACCGCTAGCCACAGTCAGCTGGCCATGCCCCAAGTGTTTGCCATTGCAGTGTATTCAAAGGGATTTGCTTGTTCCGCTGGGCTGGGAAGAGTTCTGCTGTTTGAGAAGATAGAAGACAAGGATGTTTATCATGAGACCAGGGAAATCCGGGTAAGGATGGGAGGAAGAGGCAGAACTGGGGTCCTGCAGACACTTGCTCTCGGGCAGCAGGGCACCGACCAGGAGTTTGATGGGGAACAGAGGGGCTGTCGGGCTGAGTGGAAATGAGGATTTGGGCCGTCCGTCCTGAGGGAGTTTTTAGGATGGGTTGGACGGAACTGGAGTTCAGAATTGGGAAGATCTGGATTTGAATCCTGGGAGGGACCTTTGGCAAATTCTATTTTCTCTTAGAAGCTTAGTGTTCCCATAAAAATTGTATTATTGTGATACATGTTCATATTTAACTTCCGGCATACTACCCCTCAAATCGTGAGTGTTCGGTAAATGTGTATGGAATGAATGATGCACACTGCTTTGAGAGAGAGCATATCTAGTTGGGGAAGAACCAGGAAGGCTTCTGGGTGTTTGATGGTCATCTCTGAGGAGAGGCCTTAGAGGATGGGTAACATCTGACAGAAAGAAACAGATCAGGAATTCCAGATGGAAGGAACAAATTAAGCAAAGACACCGCTCACTGTCAGGGAGCAGGTGGTATATTTGGGAATGCCCCTGTGCCCCAGTAGAGAGGAACTAAAGTCGCGTGAAGGGAAAAGATGGCAGCTAAGGCAGGTGAAGGACCCCAAATGCCAGCCTGAGGAGCATGTATGTAATTCAGCAGACAACCTGTTTGAGTGGAGACACATGCACTTAGAACAGTGCCCAGCCTACGAGAGAGAGTGGAGGCCATTCAGGGTCATTGGACATGAAGCAGTTAGAGACATACTGAATGAGTTAAACTTGACTCTACTGCTCATTGGCTGAGTGACTTAGATGACAGCCAAATCTAGCAAAACCTGTATGTCTTCAGGTTTTGTGGGAGACAGCAGCTGGACGACACAGACAAGTCCCCAGTCTGCAGGCTCCCATTCTACTTTACACAGCATGATGAATGCACAGCAGGGGGCGCTGTTGGGTGCTACGGGCTTGTTGAGGGAGCATCAGTGGCCACCCAGCCCAGGGCAGGTCAGGGACAGGTTCCCAGAGCCTCCGTTGTCCTGTGGAGCCGGAGGAGTTGACTACGTGAAGAAGGCGTAAGGGGGTAAGTAGCAAGACAGAGCTCCAGGCACAGGAAAAGAAGCACGAGAGCCCAGTATCCTGGACCCCAGGGAGGATGTGCTGCTGTTGCTCCTGCAGGCTCTGGGAGAGTCAGGAAGATGAGGACTGAGTGGGGTGTCTGGCTTGGGTGATAAGGAAGTTTCTAATGTTCATGAGGACAGTTTCAGTACATGATGAAGTGGAAGGAAAATTCATTTGTCAAATGATAAGGAAGTAAGAGCTGAGTCTGTGATAAAGAAATGGAGATGGTTTGTGCAGGCCAGCCTTTCAAGAAGTTTGGTGGTTAATGGAAGAAAAGCAATAGCAGGGAAAAGGAGATCTAATTTTATAAGGTCTACATGGGCGCTGCAGGCCCTCTCAGAGACTGCTGGCAGGAGCTTCCCACTTCTCTGCCCTGTCACCCACCCCCTGTGGAAGAAGGGCTGTCACCTTCCCCTGTGCTGCCCTGAAGTGCACATGGGTATGCTCGGGTCAGGTGGGCACCGGCAGGGGTTTCAACGCATCCCAAATGAGCCCAAGACTGGGAGTGAGTGGGAGTTAGACTTGTGTGAAAGCACTTGTTTTCAGAGAAGATCTCAACTTGACATGTATAGATTGATCATCTTCATGTAGGTCATCGTTGTCTTATTCAACCACTAATCACTTAAAGGTGAATAAAAAACCCGCAGAAAACAGAGGCAACTGAAGCCCTTCCTTCTCCACCTCTGAGGTGGAGCCCAGAACCATGCTGGTCCAGGAGCCCATGAGTTCAAAGTATCCGAGAGAACTCTGAAAGCCCAAGGGCCCACCAACAGTGTGGGGACATCCCTGATAGCTGTCTTGCATCTTGGGCAGATTCCTGTGGATCTGCAGAGCAACGACTCAAGCCAGTCTGACAAACAGGACATCCTCTGCTTGTGCTTCAGCCCCTCCGAGGAAATGCTCATCGCCAGCACCAGCAAGAACCAGCTCTACAGCATCACCATGTCCCTGATGGAGATCAGCAAGGTCCGTCTTTCCCGGCCGTGCTTCCTTCCCGCTTTTCTCGTCTGTATTCATGACAGAGTTGGTCTGTGGGCTTTTCCTCACTGCCTTTGTCTGCTTTTGGTATCAGGATAATACTAACCTCAAAGAAGAAGGTGTAGAAATGAGGCTAAAGCGAGAGAATGGTTTGGTTTTTAAGATAAGAGAGACCTGAGTGGATTTAAAAGCTAGCAGGCTAACGTATCAAATCATTATGTCGTATATACCAGAAGAATACAATGTTATATGTCAATTATATCTCAATTTAAAAAAAAATGATGCTATTCACTAGAGCATTTTGAAAGTATCATTCACCAAATGAGTTTATGAAAGTTCAGGGGACTAGTTCTTAAAAGTTGCTATGTGACTTTGGTCAAATCTCTTCGAACTAAACCTCTCTGGGCACCCCTTTCCACATATTTTCAGCAGGAGGTTGGAAGAGATGGCCTCCTTTTTTATTTTTTGAAGTAACATTACATATAAATGTCGGGTGTCTAACTTATTTATAATTCCACATCTGTATGTACTACATCGTGCTCACCCCCGAAACCCAGTTTCCACCCGTCACTGTACAGCTGGCCCCTTCCCCCATTTTGCCCTCCCTCCTCCTTTCCCCCAACCACCAGTGTGTTGTCTGCCTCTATGAGATTTTTGGGTTTTGTTTGTCTGTTGTTAAATATCCCACGTATTAATAAAGTCACATGGTATTTATTTTTTCCATGAGGGCACCCGCTCGCCTTATTGCCCTTAGCACAATCCCCTCAAGGTCCATCCGTGTTAGAGCACATGGCAGGGCTTCACCTTTTTAATAGCTGAGTGGTGTCCTGTTGTACGATATACACTGTATGCACCGCATCTTCTCTGTTCATTTATCAACCAGTAGACACAGGTGGTTTCCATAAGAGGTGGCCTCTTACCTGGAGTTCAGAGGTGAGTAAAGGCGGCAAAGCTGCCCAGCTGACACTCTCAGGTGGGCCTTTCTGTCCGCCTATACTCGGGGTCACCATGAATCCAGGGCTGCTTTAACCTGCTGATTGAGAAACTTTTTTTATTGTTTTATTGGGGAACTGACTCACGTAGATGCCAAAAGAACTCTTTTGATGTCCGGCTCTCCAGTTTGTTCACTTGCTCTGTCTGGAGGGGTGAGCTGTCACATGGAGCCTCACTCCCTCCAGCTGGGCAGGGCCTCTCAGAAGGAAGTCTGGGGCGGGGAGTGTGTGGGGAGGAGAGAACTAGGCCAGAGGAGTTGGATCTTCTGTGAGGGGAGCATTTCCACTCTCTCTCCTCAGCTGTAAGAGTTTTCTGCCTGTCTCCACACTTACACCCTGCTTTCTGGCCCGAGTTATACTCCATTTTGATGCCAAAGTGGTCTTTTCCAAACCCATATCTGGTCATTGCTAGACACATATCCCCTACCACCACGGCCACCACAGCTGCGATCCTTCAGTGGCCCCCTGTGCTCTGAGAAGGACTGAACTTGGGTGCACAGGCTGCCCATGGTCTGGCCCTGCTGCCCTCCCCAGCCTCATCCTGTCATTCCACCTGTCAGGGCAGATTTTTCCTGTCACCATGAATCTGCATGCTCCTTCCTGTCGAAAGGCTTGTGCAAACCCTGGCCCCTCTACCTGGAACACTCTTCTCTCCCCTCTTCCCCATATTGGTTCTTGCTCATCCTTCGGAGAACGAAACAATCTAATAGGAATATGCCTGCAGAGGCAGGGAGTTTGAAGGCATTGGAGAAAGAAGGGACAACAGATGGAGGAGAATGTCCATATTCTGCGCCTGCCCCCCACCCAGCACAGTGCCTGTTCCTCTGAGGTAGTGGGAAATGATGGAGTGATACAGATAAGTTTGTAAGTGGGGGAGGGCCAGAATTAGAGGGAATTCGCACCTTAGCCTTTGCCTTGTCTTGTGGACAGACCCGAAATATGTACCCCTCATTCAATTTCCCAAACATCACTCCTCATTCAGGTGCCCTAGGGACAAGGCCTCTGATGACAGGCATCTGCAACCTACACAGGCAGTGTGATAGGACACATTTTAATTTGCACCATTCACCCAAGCCCCATTGCTGCCGGAGGCAGAGTAGTATGACCTCCCCGGGGTGAAATTCGGCAGTACCTATCAGGGTCCTGAAAACCGTCCACACCATGTCTCCTGGTATTCCAGTCTAGAAATGTATCTGCTGTGCCAGCCCCAGCCCATCAACAGTCATGCTGTCGGCTAGGAAAGCCCAAGGCCCTGGCCCAGGCCTACACGTTTCCCCCATGGGGCCAGCATTGTGGCGGGACCAGCCATTCTGGTCCTTACCACAACTGCAGGTGTGCTTCAGCAAAAAGCATCAGGAACTCAGAAAAACAAGATTTATGACTCGCAGGTCCTGGTGGGTACACAGCATGCATGCCCAAGGGCTGCAGGGAGAGGTCACAGGTAGAGAGACAGCACTGACCTGGGGCTCTGCCTTTATTAGGGTCCAGGGGTGGGGTGTGTAGGGTTTTGGGGGGTTATTCTTTAATACATAGTTTACGGCATAAGAGTGGGAACGAGGGCGCAGGAAGAGAGAAGTGGGGTCACTGACGCCATAAGGTATCTAGTTATCCAGGCTTTTCTGAAAGAAGAGGGCAGCCTAATTCTTTACCCTGCTGTTTTGCTGTGTCACATAGCTGGCAATGTTTATTCAAGACGAATATCTTCAAATGGATGTCCTGACAATCAAACGCTGACCATCAGGCACTTACATCGCAGTAAAAGAGCAGTATCTAAGGATACTGATGGTACCTTAGTACCAGAGAGGTACACTGACCTACGTGCAAGGAAATTTAGTCTAGTTACTCCTAAATAACAAAAATTGGAGACCACTTAAATGTTCTCACATTTAAGTAAAGGAATGGCTAAATTAAATTCTGGTATATTCATGGAATAAAATATTTTATTGCCATTGAAATAATGTTTTAAAATAATCGTGGCTCAGGAAAATATGCCTACTATTCACACAGTTTGTGCACAGCCTGATCTCCGTGCAGCCAGGCTGATTCGCGTTCATGGGTGATGAGGGCGGAAGCGCCGTCTGCTTACTGTCCAGGGTCTCATTCTGTGTGGTTTCTCCAGGGGGAGCCCGCCCACTTTGATTATCTGATGTACCCACTGCACTCATCGTCCATCACTGGCCTAGCTACTTGCATCCGCAAACCCCTCATTGCCACCTGTTCTCTGGATCGGTCTGTTCGCATCTGGAATTATGAGTCGAAGTAAGGAATAAAAGGCTTTGCTACTGTAATATGGAGGATTTGGGTTGTTACATTTTTCATGTGAATTGTAGAGGGTTTTAAATTTTAATTACTTAGAAGCTTTCAGTTGGAAAAATTTATTTATTTTTTAAAAATAAACCATTCTTTTTATTTTTTTAGAATTTTATTTATTTATTTTCAGAAAGGGAAAGGGAGGGAGAAAGAGAGGGAGAGAAGCATCAATGTGTGGTTGCCTCTTGTGCACCCCCCTGCTGGGTTCCTGGCCCGCAACCCAGGCATGTGCCCTGACTGGGAATCAAATGGGCGGCCCTTTGGATCACAGGCTGGCACTCAATCCACTGAGCCACACCAGCCAGGGCAGAGAATTTTTTTAAATCAAGTTGGTCAGCCTACCTTTTCTTTTCACTCTTGCATAGGCTGGAAGATTACTTTGGGCTTTAGTAAATGCTTGCTCCTTGTCAGACACTGTGCTGGACTCTGGGGACACGGATATAACACTCCAGTACCTCACCTTCCTTCCTGACCTCCTGTGTCCTTCCAGCTTTCCTAACCCCTCTCTCCCACGAGATCTGCTTTTGACCTCATAGAGCTCACCAGACGATTATTTATCTTTTTTCTCCTCATCACTACCCACAACCCCCTCAGCTCCCTAGTGATTTTTTTTTTCCTCCTGGCATAGCTTCCCTGAGACTCTCTGACCTAGACTGGCACCACACTGCAATTTCTTTGTTATTATATACAGCTGCTGGGGCTGTCCTGATGTGGGGACTGCAGATGCTGCTGCGCACTCAACATCACTAGACAGCCCCTTGATCAGTCCCCCAACTCGGCATTCTCATTGCTGGACACTGTCCTTCAGCCACCAAGATCTAGAAAAGAGAGGAAGTAGTCATTGCAAACAATAAAGTAGCTTAAGTGCTGTGATAAAACCACATACCAGATACGGGGTGGGAGGGGGGCCTGAGGAATTTAGCAGGCTAGACTTACAAGTCAGTCATTGATCTGTTTCACAGCAGCCTGGAACTCTACAAGGAATACCAAGAAGAGGCATATGCCATCAGCCTCCACCCATCTGGTCACTTCATCGTAGTAGGGTTTGCTGACAAACTGTGCCTCATGAATCTACTCATTGACGACATACGTCCTTTCAAAGAATACTCTGTCAGAGGATGCAGAGAGGTGAGAACTGCTGGAGATAAAGACCCACTTTCTTGGAAATCCAGGGTTGAAACATCAACTAACACATTCTAGGGAGGAGGGACCAAAGTATCTTAGAAAACTTCAGTGGCTTTAAAAAAGAAAATGTAGAAAGGAAAATCCAATTCTTCTCCCACCCAGCTTATTGAGTATATGACTCCATCACATTTTTCTTATTCTCTCCAAAATGTTTCATTGAGCCCAAAGCCTTACAAGAGCCCACCTGTGATCAGTCTTGTCTGTGGTTGTGGAGTAACACAAAAGCACTGAGAAAGACAAGTTACACCCTGACGAGTGTAGCTTAGTTGCTTGGGCTTCATCCTGCATAGCGAAAGGTCACCGGTTTGATTCACGGTCAGGGCACATGCCTAGGATGCAGGTTTGGTCCCGGTCAGGGCGCGTGAGAGAAGCAACTGGTGGATGTATCTCTTTCACATCGTCATTTCTCTCCCTCCCTCTCTTTCTTCCATCCTTCCCCTCTAAAAACAAATAAATACAATTTTTTAAAAAAGAAAACGTTACTACAGAATCAGAGGCACAACTGGGAAGGTGAGGTTGGAGACCAGGAGGAGTCAGGAAAAATAAGCAGAGAAGTGGTAAGCGGTCCATCAACTTTCCCTGAGAAGACTTGCAGAAACGAGACCGCGATTCCAGGAATCACTTGCCCACTCTGAAACCCCTTGTACAGACAAAATGAGTGTTCCACCCTGTGGTCCAAGCAGCTTCATACTCAGAGCACCTGGCAGTGTCGGCTCCTTGGCCAGCAGGAGCTACAGGACCAGCGAAGGGGTCTGCAAACGTCAGGCAGTTCTCAGTGTGTCTGTGCCTTCCCCAGTCCCCACCCCCACACATGGCTTCAGCCTGCTGTTGAGGAAAGGAGCCCTGACCATGACCTCCGGGGAGACTGCTCATTTCTCCCATGCCTGCTCTCTGGCTGTATTCCCTCGTAGTGTGCCTTTAGCAACGGAGGTCACCTGTTTGCTGCGGTCAACGGAAACGTGATTCATGTGTTTACCACCACCAGCCTGGAGAACATCTCAAACCTGAAAGGACACACAGGGAAGGTGAGTGAGTGACGCATGTGGAAGCACAGAGCCAAGTGCTGTGGCAGTCAGTGGGATGCAGGTGAACGAGAGAGATGCCTTTTCTCCTGGAGGTCCTTGTCTACGTGGGGGAGGAGACAATAAAACAGATGCACAGACAAACTTTGTTACTAATCGCAGTACATTCAATGAAAGAAAAACAGGAGGCTTTATGAGAGGAAATTTGAAGGAATTGGCATAACGAAGGGGACTGGGGTGTTCACAAAGGTTTGGTCCTAAGAGAATGGGCAGGAATGAACCAGACAGGCTGGAGGGGGTAATCATTGCAGACAGGGCCCCGAGAACCCTGGGGTGGGAGGCTGCTCGGGGTGTCAGAGAAACTGAGATGTCTGTGGGGCTGGAACATACGTATCAGAATAAAACTTGGGGTGAGCTGAGATTGGAGAGGTTAGCTGAGGCCCAGGTACACGGAACCTTATAGGCTTTTAAGGATTTTTAAACTTTATCCTTGTTCCTCGAAATCAGTGAAGGCTTTCAGGGCAGAGAATGATATGACTAGATTTACATTTTAAAAGATTACTTTGGCTACAGAGTAAAAAATGTACTGAAAGAAAGAAGGAGACCATCGTGAATGTCTGCACAATAGAAGATAGTGTTTTGGACCAGGATGGAGCTGGTGCAGACAGGGAGAGGTGAATGAATTCAAAAGATACTTAGGAAGTAAAACCAATGGTTCCTGAAGACAGAGTGGATATGAAGCATGGAGAGAAGGGAGGGGTCAAAGACTGAAAGGGTTAAGAAAATGTCAGCAGATACATTTGGAGAAAAAAAAAAACAACTGAAAAAGAAAGCTGTTCTAGGCAGGACATGTTCCGGGTGACGGAATGGGCGCATAAAATAGGATGGTGGTTGGTGGTTTATCTGGCTGCCACGTTGGGCACACGTGAGGGATGACAGAGGAAAGGGCTGGAGGAATTGACGGTGTCATCGTGTTGTACGCCAGGCCGAGGAGTTGGACGTCGGTCCGGTCCGTAGGTGATGAGAAGCAACTGGAAGGATTTAAGAAAGGATGTAAAGGATGGGAAGGTAATTCTGCAAATGGTATTGAGGCTGGATTAGAGGGGAGGGAAGTTGGAGTGATGCAGACCAGCTAGGAAGTGGGGGCGGAAGATGAGCAAGGGACTAGACTAGACCACGGCTTTAGGCTCAGGGACAGGGAGAAGAGGGATGGTCAGTTGCATTCGGACTTGTTATGTTTGACATGTCCGGGGAGTGTGATATGTGAGTGTGGAGGTCAGGAAAGAAGTCAAGGCTGAGAATTAAGCTTCAGGGGGTTAGGTTGTAGTGGGAGTTGGAGGCATAGGTTAGATCACCAGGGGCCTATGTGGAATCTGAGAAGAATCTTCGGCAGAAGACAGGTGACCAACATTTAAAGGCTTGTAAAAAAGAGAGAGAGAGAGAGACTTCAAATGAAGGTACAAAGAGAACCTGGAATCAGAGACTTGTATCAGAGAGGCCAGGGAACTAGATCCCAAAAGGGAAAAGCGGTCACTGGTACTCTGTGTCTGCAAGAGGGCCTGTGAAGACTAAAAACTGACTGTTGACTTTAGCAGTGAACAGGTCACAGGTGAGAGCGCTGTGTGAACACCACCATTATCGAGAGCTGCATCCCAGTTGGGCTTGTCTCCTGCTGGTTTTGGAGACACAGATGAAAGTGCACCTCGCTCTGCTTCAGATAAGTCGGTCCCCTCCAGCAGAGCTGTAGAGCTCTTGTTCTATGGCCTGCCTGTCCCCTGGGCAGCCTCCCTGCTCCATTTTCCAGGAGTGACATCCCCACTCTGAGTGGCACTTGCAGAGGGGACGGGGCGGGAGCCCCTGGACTTCTTGTCTCTCCCCTCACAGCATGGAATCAATACTCTGGGGGCACCAATGTTCCTGGCCTCCTGCACTTGGAGCAGAGCTTCCACCACCAGTGGGGACCGGCTGGAGGAAGGGAGACCAGGTCCTCCTGCTCCTACGTGCCTGGAGTAGAGCTTCTGGGTGGGGATGGAAACACCAGCAGTCCGCCCTTCCTGAGAGCCGGAGGGAGAGGAGCCCCATCCTGGGGCCACACCTGCGCACAGTGCACAGGAGTGAAATCCTCGGAGCAGAGGAGGGTGAAGGAGCAAGCCGTAGCTCGTGCCACAGACTGTCTCACTGAGACTGAGCAGATTTTCTTGAATGGATGTTTCCACATTTGCTATATGCCTGTAGGACAACTTCCAGAGACTTTAAACAATTGCTTGTATCATTTTCAACAGTTAACTTACTTTGTTGGGGAAAAGGTCAGCTAAGATCCTTACTCTGCCATTCCAAAAGTCCCTTGTCTCTCTACTTCCTGTGGATATATTATTTTTTGCCACTTCCTGTGGATATATGATTATTTTCCCCAAAAAAGCTTTTTTTTAAAAAACGTAGCAATAATTGGTTTTAGCATTACAGGGACTATTACAACTCAGTCTTCCCAGCTCAGGTAAAAAGGAAATGGGAGTGTTTCACATTTCGTATTTTGCAAGCATCTCGGAAAACAGAATGTTGATGTTCCCAAGAAACTAGGTTTCATGCTTACTGGAGGGTACGTACCAGGAGTTGCGCCTCAGTCTAGTGGAATGTGTGAAGAATTCGTCCGCCTTTTCCACGGGAGTCCGTGTGTGTGCATGTGCACTCTTCCCTGGGTGTGTCTCCCCCCACCCCTGCAGATCCGCTCCGTCGTGTGGAACGCAGAGGACAGCAGACTGATTTCCTGCGGCACGGACGGCGCCGTATACGAGTGGAGCCTGTCCTCGGGGAAGAGGGAGACAGAGTGCGTGCTCAAGTCCTGCAGCTACAACTGCGTGACCATCTCCCCTGACGCCAAAATTATCTTTGCTGTTGGATCTGACCACACCCTCAAGGAGATTGCAGATTCCTCTGTGAGTCTGCCCCTGCCCGCCCCTGGGCTGCTGCACCGATCTGCGGGGACAGTCCTGCATTCGCAGCAGAAAGCGGGGTGGGAAGAAGGCCTGAGAGAACAGGGTCCCTTCTTCACAGAGGAACCCCTGCCCCTCATTCCTCTTCAGTCACCTCAGTGATTGTTACTTCCGGAATTTCCTGCCCAGGGCCCTGCCCGACTGGGCTAAATTGTGGGGCCCCTTTCACTTCTGTTCTGCATGCTGTCTAGAACTTCTCTCCACCCCCCAGGCCTGGAGCTCAGTAGTGTCTCCAAACTGCACTCATACCCTTGACTTCACTTACTTTCCTGGTAGAAACAGAACCATAGTTATTGCCATCACCTAGGCTTGCCATCATATTTGTTTGAGACCCTCACACTCTGAAATTGTAGAATTATGACACTGAGCTCCAAATACAGTCATACCATCAGGGTACTCATCTGACCCTGTACTCGTCACATTTTGACGAGAAAAAGGTGTTGCACTCAGTGCTTGCTCAGTACTCCTCGGTTTCAGCACACATCGCAGGCTCCGGAAGGAACTAACATGAGTACTGAGGCACCACCGTGGTTGGGGGAGGAGAGGAGAGCTCGGCAGGGACATGTCGTGGCTGTGTGCTTCTCCCGCAGCCCAGCGGCATCTGGTCTTCATCGGCTTCTCTCACTTTTCTTTGGCGCTCAGCACTCTCTTGGTGCTGGTGCCTGGAGAAATGCAGAGATACCACGGCACCAGACCGGCCTGGGGCAGGTTTCCCCATAACTGGAACACAGCTCAGAGTAGGGTGTCTTACTACTATGCCCCCAAGTAGCTTCATCCTGGCTCTGGCTTCCAGAGTGCTGCGCCAGAGCAAAGCTTCCGTAGGGCAGGGCCACGGTTCTTCCTCTTGGCGTTCCCACCCGCTATCATCCCCTGCATGGCCGGGGCACACACTCAGTCAGGGCACATGGGCAGGCAGGCGGGTGGGTGGGTGAATTAATACATGAAGGAATGAGTCCCCTGAAAGTATAGTTTCATTTATATAATGGACATTAATTCACGTTTGCTGAATAAATTTGTGATCCATATCCCATTCTGGGTTTGAGAAGCATGGTCATATCGCAGCCAAGAGCAAATGCTCTGGAGTCGGACCACCACTCACCGCGTGGGGGAGCCGAGGCAGGTAACTTGCCATCTCTGGGAGCCTCTTTCAGGGGTACCGGTAACTCCCTCAAAGGGGGTTGCAAGGATTCAGAGTGACAACATATATGCATAAAAGCCACAGACTGGTGCTTGGCTCTTAGTCTGCGTGCTGTTTGAAGGTTTCCCTTTGTTGGTGTTATTCCTAACTCGCAGAACTGTTTACTCTCAGTCAAGCAGCTGAGAAACAGTTAGCTTGTGCTTTTGACATGCTAAGCATGGTGACAGATGCCTTCAGGAAGAGGAAATATTTTTTAAGCACAGAACTTTCTTTCCCATGGCTGACAGTGGAGAGGAAGAGAATGACCCGGGAACCTGGGGACAGGGCTCACCCCTCACGCTGAACAGAGCTGTCCTCTCTCCAGATCCTTCGAGAGATACCGGCATTTGATGTCATCTACACGGCCATCGTCATCTCCCACTCGGGGCGCATGCTCTTTGTGGGGACCTCAGTGGGAACCATTCGTGCGATGAAGTACCCTCTGTCTGCGCAGAAAGAATTCAATGACTACCAGGCCCACGCTGGTCCTGTCACCAAGGTGAGAGGGGCCCCTCTCTTCAGGGGCCCAGTCCCAGGACTGGTGGTGGGAGGATCCATTTGGTCCCGCCCACCTCGTCCCTTCTTCACCCCATCAACCTCCCAGTGCCTTTCCTGTCTCCTTTTTCAGTGCAGCCATCCATTCAATGGACATTTACAGGCTGTTAACATTCTTTGTTCAAACTATTCGAGGAATTAGCCCTAGGAAATAAGCAGACTTGTACCTAAGGATTTCTGTACAAGGTTACAGAAGGCCCTCCTGGGGGCAATACCATGAGCACACCTTTGTATTAATAAATGGTCCCTCTGTTCTCCCTTCTGAAATAGCAGCATTTCTGTTACATGGAGTTCTGAAGAACAGGCGCTGGGAGGTGTGTGTCTCCTCCCCCACCCCTCTCTCATTCCAGACCAAACGCCACCAACACCCGAGGCTTTTTATCACGCCCCAGACTCTGTTGGCTCACCTGCAGACATGGTCCTTATTAAGAAAGTCTTTTTCGTTATAAACTGGAACACCCCTGTACTGAGCCTGGTCCTTGGGGCCAAAGTAAATTACTATAACATAGTCCCTCCCACCTTCCCTTCAGATCTACTGGGTTCTGTGGATAAGATGTCTATTGTTCTGACTATAAAAGTGATGCATGTTTATTTGAGAAATAAAAACCCTCATTATAATATCACCATTCATATTTTGGTGCATTTAAAACTTCTACTCTTTTAAATATATATCGAGTGTGTTTCAAATAAATTGAGGTTATGCTATATATACACCCTTTTGTAGCCTTTTTAAAAACTGGATGCTGGTATAAGCACTTTGCCATATGCAATAATTAAATAGTCCTCAATGGCATGATTTCGGCAGCTATGCAGATATTCCATCATGTAATAGACCATAACTTATTTAGCTCTTCTCTTATAACCGGGCATTGAAATTACCTTATAAACTCTAATAAATGTCCTGGTCAGCAAATTTCCAAGGGCATCTCTGATTATTCCCAAAGGCTAAATTCCCAGATAGAGAGAATTTCTGAGGGAAAGAGCATTGCCATCTTCAAGGTTTTTAATACATACTACTGGTTGAGGGAAGATATTTCCATAGTTGGCTCTTTGGTTTTTGTGTTTTGTTTTGAAATAATAATAGATTCACAGGAAATTTTAAAGATAGCATGGTGGTCCTATATACCCTTCACCCCGGTCCCGCCAGAAATCATATCCAGTGGAAGTATAGTAGGACACCAAGCCAGAAAGCCGGCATCGGCACAGTGCGTGTGTGTGCCAGTCTCTACCATTTTGTCTCATGCATGGATTTGTGTAACCACCGCTGCGATCTGGATGGAGAACTATGCCATCATCGCTGAGAGCCCCTCCTACCGCCCTTTCACAGTCCCACCCAGCGGCCTCACCACCCCCACCCCGGTCCCTGGCAACCACCTGTTTGTTTTCCATTTCTAAGATGCCGTCATCTTGAGAATGTTTTATTAGTGGAATCATTCAGGATGGGACCTTTTGAGAGGGGCTTTTTCCACTCAGCACAATGTCCTTGTGATCCATCTAAGTTATTTTATGTATCAATAGTCCATTCCTTTTTACGGCCGAGTAGTGTTCCTTGGTAAGGCTGTACCATAGTTACTTTAACCATCTCCCTGTTGTAGGATATTTTTATTTTCTCCCAGTTTTTGGCTATAACAAGTAAAACTGCTAAAACAATCATGGATAAGCATCTGTGTGGGCCTAATTTTTCATTTCTCCGGGATAAATGCCCAGGAGTACAACTGCTGGATCATATTGTAAGTGTATATTTCATTTTTTAAGAGCCTGTCAAGCTATTTTCCATTACCATCAGCAATGCATGAGAGAGCCTGTTTCTGTACATCATTGCCAGCATTTGGTATTGTCACTATTTTTATTTTAGCTGTTTTAATAGATGTATAGTGATAGCTCATCATGGTCTTTTTTAAAAAAAGATTTTATTTATTATTTGTTTTTACAGAGAGGGGATGAGAGGGAAGAAAGAAAGAAAGAAAGAAAGAAAGAAAGAAAGAGAGAGAGAGAGAAAGAAAGAAAGGAAGGAAGGAAGGAAGGGAGAGGAACATCAGTGTGTGGTTGCCTCTTGCACACCCTCTACTGGGGACCTGGCCTGCAACCCAGGCAATGAGCCCTGACTGGGAATTGAACCAGAACCAGCGAACCTTTGGTGCATAGGCCAGCACTCAGTCCTCTGAGCCACACCAGCCAGGGCTCATCATGATCTTAATTTGCAGTTCCCTAATGGCTAATAATGTTGAACATCTTTTCACGGCCTTATTTGCCATCTGTACACTCTCTTCTGTGAAATGTTCCCATACTTTGCCCACTTTCTAGTTGGATTGTTTGGGCTTTTTTTGTTGTTGTTGGGTTTTAAAAGTTTTCTGTGTAGTCTAGACAATAGCTGACTCTTAACATTCCAAATCCACAGAGAACGTAGATGTAATCTTGCTTCTCTTACTCATTGTCGGAAACCCATGAGGGCTACCGTCTCGTTCTTACCCGGGACTTAGTCTCCCTCCCCGGGAAGCAGGCCCAGGCTCGCATAGAGGGAGCCTGGCACAATAGCCAGCCTGGTCCTCCGGGGCCTCAGAAAGCCTCCTGTCCACGGTCTTTTTCTCAGATGTCGCTCACCTTCGATGACCAGTTCCTGCTGACGGTCTCTGAGGATGGCTGCCTGTTCACCTGGAGGGTCTTTGATAAGGATGGTCGGGGAATCAAGCGAGAGAGGGAGGTGGGCTTTGCCGAAGAGGTGCTTGTCACCAAGACAGACATGGAAGAGAAGGTAAGAACTGGATCTGACAAAGAGGGATGTGGAAAGTCCTTGTAGGCACCCAGACGCTGGCTGGCCCTGGAGGCCCTCTACAGCCCGGCTTCAGCCAGTGCCCAGTGCTCCCTGGAAGTTCTCTGCCCACACCCCCCTGCCACCCCCTCACTGCCGCCTAGCCTGCTCCCACCGCACCCGCCTGTCATTCTGCCCCGTGGGCATCTTGTGCTGTGCGCTGTTCTTCACCCACAAACTAGCTTTTCTCTTCCTACTTTCTGATGGCGGCACCACAGAAGTTTCTAGCCCATGGAAGACAATTGATAAAGATTTATAAAACTGAATTGACAAACTGAGTATCCCAATTGTATCTGTGAAACTTAATAACTGCTAGTCTGTAGAGCCTTCTTTTAAAAAAATACTTCTTTTTAAAAAAAAGAGGTATTTACAAACATTCCCTTAATAATAAAATAATAAAAGCAATAATCAATAACCAACTCTTTTTTATGTTTGCCACGTACCAGGCACTGTGCTAATTACAAGCATTTTCTCATTTAAATCTCATATAGTTTCTTTTTTTTTTTAATTAACCTTGGTTTCAAACTTTATGCCCAGGCTTCTTCAGCTTAATTAGCTGCAAAACATGACGTGCGGAGAAGCAAAAACTGGAAAGAGCTGCAGTGTCCAAGGGGCTGGGGCTTAAAGACATTAGCGGTGTAAGTTTTATCAGATCCACAAACGAAATTTGAAAAAGCAGTCACAATATAAGATAGTAGCCACCAGTGACTTCTTCAAGTTCATCTTCTTCAGAAGTTGACTCAGTTCAGTTTGCTTCCTTCTTGGAAGCCTCATCTAAATTCTCCCCAAGATCTGGAACTTCGTCATCATCATCTTTTCCTGTAGCAGCTGGTGCTTTTCCATCCAGGGAGTGTTTGGGCAGGGCCTCAGCCAGTCTCCTTAGACTAGTCCGACTGTGTGCGGGAAGCTGATTTAAATGCTGGGCAGCATTTCTGTCAGCTGCGTCGGCTCAGAGTGGCCTGCACTGCTGAAAGTGTTCGCTGCCGGAAATGCCTGAACTTTAAGGTTGTTAAAGTGGGTCACTATTCCTTGGTTTGTGAACAAACTTACCTCTTCGATACCAGAGATGTTGTTTACCCCTAACTCCTTTAAGGAGAACTGAAGTTTTTTATCACCTGCTGTATCTGTCCTGTGAACCATCTACTTTCTACAAGCAGTGCCTTTCCCACCGATGCACACTTATGCCTGCAGTTTGGCAAGTTTCTCTTGGTTCGTGCTAGTTTCTTTCATCTCACTGGAGAGAAAACGGGGCCGCATGGGGGGCTGGGGTTGGCACTCAGGGGGCCTTTGGCAGACTGGCTGAGAATAAGCGCGCACACGCGGGGACCCCAGGGGGCAGCTAGGCTCACATGGTTTCTGTGAAGGAGATACTGGTATTCTCCCATGTTTCCAAAAATGGTTTCAGAGAGGTTGAGTGGCATGTCCAAAGTCACTGAGCTATAGGTAGCAGACCTGGGGTTCCGATCCAGTTTACTCCAGAGCCCACTCCTCCCCAGGGGCCTTCCCTCCTGTTCCTGTAGTCAGCATTCCATCCAGCTGTGTTTTGAGGGCTTCGAGGGCACAGCCCTGTGCCCCACACCCTACGGGAGAAGCTGCATGGATGATAAACTCGAGAGGCTTACAGCAGGTAACAAAACTATGTGCTCAGTGCCATTCGTCCAGAATCCAAAGTGCATTTATCTGGTACCTCCTGTTTACTAGGTGCTGGGGATGCTTATGTGGAACAGGCCTGGGTCCTGTGGTCAGGAAATCAGTCACGAGGGATGGAGACAAGTAAAACCACCAGACCATCAATGCCAGAGTGGCCCCAAGGCAGGAAGATAGGCCCCTGGCATTTCCCGGGGGTCCCTCCTAGAGCTGCCTGGAGCTTTCTGCAGGAAGGGAGGAGAGGGAGGAGAGGACAAGGGGAGCCTTTGAAAGCCGGGGCCTGACATCCTGCAGGCAGCAAATGTTTCCTCTTCCTCCTCCTTGTTTTCTTCTCTCTCCCTCTCACGGGGTGGAGGAAGAGACCAAATAGGAGGCACCTGTTTGTACCAAAAGCCTGAGGTGTCTCAGCTGACTCCTGCCCCCTGCCCAGACTGACAGAACTGCTGCCAAGCTGGAAATGACGAGTGTGTGCAGTGTCGCAGCATCCCCTGGGCCACGTTTTACTGTTCCCTGTGAGCCTCTCCACTCCCCGCCACCCGGCTCCTCCTCCACCAGTCCTTTAAAAGTCACATTCCCCAGAATTCCCAGTTCCTTTCTTTATATTCTATGACATTCTCTGTCTCTCTCTCTCAGGCCACGATTTACTCATTCACTCAGCCATTCATTTACTCATTCATCCAGCTAGTATTCACAGAGGGGTCTGCTGTGTATCGGACACTGACTAAGGTCTGGGGTCACTGAGATGAAGGACATAGAGGGTCCTTCAGCATATCGCCTGGGAGGAAGATTAGGTGAAATTTAAAAAGGGAATTAAGGGCATGATGGGTGTTGGGAAGGAACAATGCTGGGAAGGGGACCGTGACCCAGGCCAGGTGGGGCCAGAGGAAGAGAGCTTTGGATGGAGCCTTCCAGAACAAATGAGAAAGGATCTTAACACCGAGGAATAAGTGTGTGCAGAGGGATGATGGAGGGTTGCTCTGGGGAAGATGCTCCTGGCCAGGTGGGGCAGGAGAGGAGAGGGCGTGCGGGAGGGAGGCAGGGGTTGGAATGCTGTACAGAGGTCTTATGGGGCCTTTTACACCATGTTTAGACTTTGGAAATTGTTCCCTTGGACCCACTGACAGACTTAGGTTAGGGAGCAATGTGGTAGATTTGTGTCTTGGAGACACTACTTTGCAGCAGCTTAGAGAGGGATTAAGGAAGGACAATGAGCAAATACATCAAACACAACTTGTCAAACACCAGATCACCCCCACAATAAATGTATTCCACTCGTCCAAGGCATCATTTATTCATTTGATAAATATTTATCTAAGGCTGGCAATGCTGCTGGTCCTACACCAGGCTCCCAGGATAAAACCCTGAAGCAAGACAGGCCAAGTGCACCCCCAGGGAGCCACCCAGCTGGAGAAACAGTCTTAGTCCCCCGTTCTCTCACCTTCACCTTGCACCCCACCCCACACCCAGTCAGGCTCCCACTCCCTAAAATCTCTCTCTTGAACCTTTCCATTACTCTCTGCTCCCCCTACTCTGCAACCAGTCACACCCCAACCACCTCCCCCCGGCCTGTGCAGCACCCCTGCCTCAGTCCTCTCATCTGGCCCGTGCTGCACACTGCCATCAGAGAGGTCTTTTTAAGGCCAAGGTCAGCTTCATCCGGTTAGACAAGGGCCTTCCAAGGGCCTTCCGAGGCCCTCTGGGGTAAACTCCAAATTTCTTAGCATGGCCTACAGGATCCTTATGGTCTGACCCAGTCTCAGCCGCCTCTCTCGCCCTCTGCCTCCCTCCTGCGCCCGACCACACGCAGTGCCCTGACCAGGCACCTTCACTTTCCGCTTCCTCACTTTGCATGTGCGACTTGTGTTCACCTGTCACCTGAGGACTTCCTGTGGGCCAGACTCATACTAGCCCTCTGGCCAGGAATGCAGAGACATGCACAACCATTCCTTGTTCTCTAGTCATCCGCAGCGACAGGGGAGACAGGCCAGAAAAGACGAATGGGGGCGCACAGAGTGTACTCATAAGTGAGCAAGAAGAAAGCGTCTGTGTTCTCACCTCCTCTGTCCTCAACTTTGACTTTTTGTTAAATGAGGGGTATGTGTATTACAGTATTTTCATAAAACTGTAGCAATGGTGAATACAATGGATAGGAGGAAGAAGACACTAGACCTAGGAACCAGGAAGGTGGAAAGACTTAGGACCTAAATTAAAGTAGTAACAGTGAGGCCAGACGAGGCCCCGCAGACACCGAGGGGGCAAATGAACAGTCCTGGCTTCGGGCACTTAATGCAGGTTGTAATGTTCTGTTCATCTGGCCGCCTCACTCTGCAAGTTCTCTGACTGCAAGTTCTGTGGGAGCAGGAATCGTGGTTCAACAAATATGTTTCAAGCGCCTACTGAGTGTTGTGCCCTCTTCTAGGCACTTGGGGTACATCAACGTCCAAACTCAACATAGACCTCAGTCTTCTGGGGGCTTAAATCCTAGTAGGGGAAGAAGACAAAGACAACCAATAAAATGGTAACTTATTATTAGAAAGTGCCAAGATCTGAGGAACTAATTAAAAGCAGGACAGAGCGGCCCTGGCTAGTGTGGCCCAGTGGATGGAGGGCCGGCCTGTGAACTGAAAGGTCACTGGCTCAATTCCCAGTCAGGGCACGTGCCTGAGATGCAGGCCAGGGCCCTGGTTGTGGGTGTGCGAGAGGTAATCGACTGATGTATCTCTCACACATCGATGTTTCTCTCTCTTTCTCCCTTCCTTCCCCCCTCTCTAAAGATAAATAAATAAAAGCTTTTTAAAAAATAAAACAAAGTGTGCTCTCCCTATTGAAGCTACCTTTTTAAAAAAAAAGTAGGACAGAGCTGGGGAGGGGTGGTCGTGAGTGCTGGGAGTGAGAAGGGGAGAGTAGCAGGAATAAATACTGGGGTCCACATAGAGCTCACCGAGCAGGTGGCACTGGCGCATATTTGCAGGAGATGAGAGTATTAGTATAGCGTCAGGCACACAGTAGGACGCACTGAATATATGATACGAGGATAGAGGAAGAAGCTCGTATGTCTCCTAGTCTTCAGTCTGTGTGTCTTGCGGGGGAAAGATGATGAGTTCTAGCTGAGACGCACGAGCTGGAGGGTAACCAGAGCTGCAGGTCTCAGAGCGCTCAAGGCCGCAGGTGTCAATAGTCTGAGTGACCCCCACAGTCAGCGTTCCTCATTCTGTGTCTTTCTCCCAAAGGCTCAGGTCATGCTGGAGCTGAAGACTCGCGTGGAGGAATTAAAAATGGAGAATGAGTATCAGTTGCGACTAAAGGATATGAACTATTCTGAGAAGATTAAGGAGCTTGCTGACAAGTTCATGCAGGAAATGGAGTCCTTGAAAACGAAAAACCAGGTCTGTTTGAGAGATAAAACCAACAACCACAAGTAACAAGAAATTTCCTATTTACTCCAATGTATTCTAGATGGAACTGGCATATATTCACACAATAAGATATATGACAAAGTGTGATTTGAAAGCATAGTTGATAACATTAGAAATGATTACAACTGTTCTGGCCAGTGTGGCTCAGTTGGTAGGAGAACAGCCCTGTAACCTAAGCATAGCAGGTTCGATTCCCACTCACGGGGCACATGCCTAGGTCACTGGTCTGATCCCCTGATCCAGGTGTGTACAGGAGGCAACCAATTGCTGTTTCTCTCTCACATCAATATTTCTCTCTCTCCCTTCCTCTCTCTAAAAAGCAATGAAAAAAAAAAACATCCTCAGGTGAGGATTTAAAAAAAAAAGAAATGGCTACAAGGAAGTGCTAAGTGAAAAAAAAGCAGAATATAAAACACTACACTGAATAGTGTTCAGTAAAATAAATATGCATGAAACAATTTAAAGAAAATAGCTAACAGTGTAATTGTCTCTGAAATTGGGATTGGAGATAGTTTAAATTTTGTTGTTTGTACTTTTTAATAATTTCCAAATTCTCTACAAGGAGAATATATTACATTTATGATCAAGAGAAATTTATTGAAAAATATAATGAAAAGGTCACAAGCAAAACTAAGTATAGAAGGAAAAGCTAGCAGAATATTGATCTCTGGATTGCCAGTGGATTAAATAAAATTAGTCTAAATGGTCTTCCTGTAGTTAGATTTGGTCCAGGACTCCCTCAGAATAACTTTTTCATTTGCACTAATCTGCCTGGCCCTCCATCCAAAACTCCCTATTTTCTGCTCAAGGAATATTTGTTATTTTTATGTTATCTCCATGGGTCATAGAATTTGGGGGTTGGGGGAAACCCTGGCTGTTGATTTTATTATTTCATTCAGTTAGTCAGTGAGCTTTGATTTGGGGCCCTCCACCAGCTGAACACAAACTTAGTCCTGGACCGGGGTCCGCCCCTACCTGCAGGGAGCTTCCCGGCCCCTTTAAAGGAAACACTTCCTTTGAAGCTGACACATGAACATCTCCAAGGATTCAGTTAACAAAAACATGCTGACAACAGAGGATTCCACTGAATCCTTACTTTTTTCACCCAAAAAGTGCATTTGCTACATGTCCAAAACTGAGGTCATTATTAAGACCACTTAGTAGAAGCACATATATATAGTGAAAGTTTACCTACAAAAAAACCCAGAATTATCTTCTGGAGAGTGGGCCTTGTAGTCCTTCCCCCGCTAGGAACCCACCTGTATCAGTGCAGCGGCTGGTGCTGCTGTGAGTGAGAAGCTGTGTTCAGCTTCAGTGAATTTTTTTTAAGATTCTTTAAACGCATTTGCCCATTTCATGATGGGTGAGTTATGAGCACACCTGCCCACACGGCACTGACTGTTCAGCAGTTTTTGGCCAAAAGCCGCATGACCCCTGTGCCGCACCCTCCCTGTTCACCCAATCTCTCCTCAAGTGACTTTGTTGTTTCCCCGGATGAAAAAAGTCCTCAAAGGCAAACGTTTTGCTGAAGTGGAAGAGGTGAAACAAAAAACAGCAGAAGCACTAAAAAGCATCAAAATCGATGAGTTAGTTCAAAAACTGTTTTGAGCAGTGGGAAAAAAACATCTTGATAGGTGTATTGCATCAAATAGAGAGTACTTTGAAGGTGACTGAAGTTTAAACATGTAGGAACAAATTCACGATTTTGAATAAATAAATCCAAGGGCTTTTTTAGTGCCCCCCTCATAGAACTTTCAGAGCAGAATGTAAAGTAAATGAAAAGCGACAGCTTGATTGCTCGCAGAACAGCGCTCAGTGCGGAACAGGAGCTTGAGAAATGCTGGGGAGCACAGGTGGCTGTCGCTGTAAAATGTGCTCTTGCCCTGGGAGGGCTTTCAGCAGGTGTGTAGAAGAAGAATGTTTGACCCTGTGTTTTAGGTTTTAAAAACAGAAAAAGAAAAGCAGGATATAAGTCATCGTGAACACATGGATGAACTCCTAGATAAACAAAGCCGGGAGCTGCAGGACATGGGTGAGTCCGCAGTGGAGGCCGCGTGGGCACAGAGTCGTTGGTTAGGGGCAGAAGTCTAGGAGTCTCCCAGACCCAGCGGAAGTCCCAGGCGATATGAACAGGCTGCGTTTATCTCCTGGAACGCACCGTGGCTCTTATTCCCATGTATTTTACTCACTATTAAACACAAGCCAGTGGGTGATATGGGAAAGTGCAGGTTTGGGACCTAATGGACTATCCCAGACTCACCAGGTGCTTGCTAGGAGCTCTAGGGAGTCACCTGACCTCACCAGGCCTCAGTTTACTCTTCTGTAAAATGAGGATACTACTACCTATTCTGCACACTCAGGACATTCTTCTTGGCCCCAAGCCCCCAAACACCCTGTCTGTACTTTCCGGGAAACCTTTCTGCCCAGACAGCAAAGCGGTGGGGGGAGTTTGGCTGCCTGATGAGATGATGGCGTTGTGGGCGGGTGAGGGAGACAGGCAGGCATTTGAATCTCGGCTTAGCAGCAGATGTTCCAGCGGGTGCTGGAAGGGGGTGGGAAAGCACCCAAGTCTGCTAGGTGTCCCTGAGGTTGGTGCTAATGTCCCACCTTAAATACCTTTTTTGCTTCTCTTAAGAATGTTGCAACAACCAAAAGTTGCTTCTGGAATATGAGAAGTACCAGGAATTGCAGCTGAAGTCCCAAAGGATGCAGGAGGAGTACGAAAAACAGCTTCGGGACAACGATGAGACCAAGAGCCAGGCCCTGGAGGAGCTGACCGAGTTTTATGAGGCCAAACTGCAGGAGAAAACCAACCTTCTGGAAGAGGTACTCACCGAAAGCCAAGCTGCGCCTCCCTCGCCCAGTGCCCAGCGCAGCCTGCAGGCCCCGCCTGTGAGCAGCCTGAAGAGCTGTGGGAAGCCTGCTCAACCTCATTCCCCAGCTTTCCTTCAGTGTGTGTGCCCTTCGACCTTTGTTTCACACATTTGTTTCTCTGCGAACCACATGACCCACTGAGCTTGGAGGTGCTCAGTTTTTGAGTCTGAAATGCCTTGGGCGGACTAGGTTGATACCTTTTATTCTCTCTTAAATGTACCCTCAAGCCTTAAGACCTGGGGAGACTTTTCTAGAAGAAGCTTATATAGAACCTGGAGAGGAACAAGCGCTCTGAACAATGGAGAAGGGGGTTGTCTGAACCCTCTTAGGAACTTCTTTTGTCTTAGAAGATGAAGTCGTTGCTTTGCTGACTCAGCAAACACATCTTGTTGGTTCACCAGCCTGAGTGCTGGATAACCAAGGGAAACAAAGTGTGGGGGCTGGTTCTCAGTTGGGCGAGCAAGGCAGTCACACACATCCGCACTCGGCAAGGCGTGCACGGGATGGTAGGGGAACGCAGACAAAGGCACCCTCCCCTGCAAGGTCAGGGCAGGGCTGCGGGAGCTGATGCAGTCCAGGAGGAATGTATGTTAGAATGCGCAGGAGACAGGGAAATGTGGGAAGGGAGGCATCCAGGCAGAGCAGTGGGGTAGGGCATTCAAGCAGTTGGGGTTGCCAAAATACCGAGTTTCCCAAGATGAAGAGAAAACTGAGCGAGGCCCCCTTTCTGGAATGAACTGGTGGCAGATGGCGTGCTGAGAGTGCGAGGGCAGTAGAGCCACGAAGGGGCGGGATGATTTTTTTGAAGGAAACAGGGAAGGAAGTGGCCAAGAAGAGGGCTGGCAGGTGTGTGGTTGAGAGCCCGGCTCAGGTGTGGGGCATGAATTCTGGCAACGTTAATCCTCCAGTCTGAGCGCATTTCCACAGCGTGGCGCAACAGGCAGGTGTGTGAGGGAGGGAGACACAGCAGCCTGGGGTCAGAGCTGGGGTTTTATTGGCGTGGTGCCCCAGAAAATAAAGGTCAGCCAGTGACCGGCCAAAGAGGGGTCAGACAAGGAGACATTATAGGATCCTCTACAACCAGCCCCAGTTATGGCAGAAAAGACCGAATCGGCATCTGGAAGTCTGGAGTGCACTGGGAAGGGGACCAGACAGCGGGAGATCAAAGTGGGGAGAAGCAGGGTAGAGGCCTCCGGGTGGCAGGAGCCTCAGAGCAGCAGGCCGAGCGCTGACACCGCCCCCAGCCCCACGCGGCTCATCCTGGTTCCCTGATGTGAGGGTGCTGCTCAGCACTGCTTGCAGGAGCCTCTCTGACTCGGATCTGCCCGCCCTCCCACCCCCACTTCCGGCCGGCCAGCCCTGTCCAGATCCCAGCCGCCTAACAATACGGAGCAGCCGGAGTTTTCCACACAACCTCTGAGCCTCAGCTTGGGATCTCTCTTCCCAGGACCCCTTCCCCTTCTTCTCCCGGCCGCCCAGCCACCTGTGCCCACCTTACAGACTCAGGACAAGAGCCAACTCCTTGAGGATTTCTTCCTGAACCTCTCTCCCCTCTCACAGGGCTGAGCAGGCTTCCTTTACATTTGCCTACCCCTGTGTGGCTTACATGGTGACACCCCGAATTCAGAGCTCTGCCTTTAGGAATATTGAGTCTGTCCTCGGGAGAGAGGCTGGCCTCCCTCTGGAGCCTTCCACAGTGATCACAGTGCATTTCTCCTCCTGAGTCAACAAGATGTAACTGGAAGCTCCCACCCGGCATGCCGTCTTAACTGACCTGGCTGGGCTGCTTTTACTTGTTCGCAGCATCTACCGGGAAAAAAGGAGCAGACGTTTGGGGGCCATGTCTGGCTTCAGACAGAGCTACAGAGCTGACCTTGCTGGCTGGGCTTCTCTCTAGCTGGGGTGTGGTGATGTGGGACGGGCAGAGAGAAGCCTTTCTCAGGAGGCCAATGAGCCCAGTTTTAAAACGAGCTCATTTCTCTTAACCCCCAAAACTTGCAGTCCAGGCACGGTGCACACAGTCCAGCCTGGGAGAGTGCCAGGGTGGGTAGGAGAGGAAAGAATTGATTCTGAAGGAATCTAAAATGTCCACCCCCTGGCGGTGGTAAGCAAAGAGGAGTCGGGCCCTAATCACTCGCCAGACTCTGCCCTCCCCCCACCCATCCCCCCTCTCAGGCAGAGTCTGGGCTCTCCAGGCTTTCACTCACTCAGCACCAAGTACCACCCGGTGCTGTTCGTGCTACTCACAGTGGGGAACAGAGAGAGGTGGTCCTGCCATCGAGGAGCTTTCATTCCAGTGGACGAACCTGTCACACAGGCAGCTACAGTATAACAAAGTGACGGGGAGCAGCAGGACCTGATAGCTGAGCCAAGAGCTGAAGGAAGAACTGGAGACGGTCACAGGCAGAGGCTGAAAACAGGGGCAGCGTGGGCCGCGCCCAGCAGCTGAGGAACGTGCACGTTTGGGGAACCGAAGTTAGGTTACTCTGGCGAGAGCTTGGGGTGGGAGCGATGGCTGAGGCTGAGAGGCAGCCGCTGCTGACTCACGCACAGCCTTGTGGACCCAGCTCAGCGGTCTGGGCTGCATCCCGGGGACAAGGGCGAGCTGAAGAGGGCTTTCACGCTGCGGGGGCCACGATCAGGTGTATGATTTAGAAAGATCCCCGAGACCAGAGGGTTGGGAACAGACTGGAGGGAGCCATGACTGGACATGGGAGCCTGGTTAGGAGGTGGAGACCGTGGTCCAGGCGACAGATGACGGCGGTGTGGGCAGTGGTGGAGGCGTAACGAAAAGTGGATGGACTCAAGAACGCTCACCTAAGTGGGAGGTGAAAGATCCGATCGACTGGATTAGGGATCCGGAGCGCAGAATTAGAGATTTGCTCATTCGTTCAGGTGTTTACCGTGCACCTGCTGTGCGCTGGTGTGTGTTGTGCCCTGGGAGCCCCCTGCGGGGCACGGTAGGGCTTCTAGCCTCAAGGAACTTCCATCTACTGGGAGAGACAATTGAGTCTTTTCACAAATACATATAAAATTGCCAGTGTCACAAGTTCAGTGGAGGAAAGGTAGAGGGAACCGGGTGTCAGTGTGAAGACTGGAGCTAGAGCAGGGTTGGGGGGGTGTTGGTGAGGCAGTGTCAGAGCAATAGAGCCGGAGGCCTGATCTGGCAGGGAGGGAAGGGGAGCTAGAAGGACAGATAGGAAGAATGTGGCGGCAGCGAGGGACCTGTGGCCTTGGCTTCCATTTCCGTAGCAACGCTCAGTCTCCCATCCCCATGATAGGCCCCATAGGCTCACCTGGTCCCAGGCCCTCTTAGCACAAAGGGGGCGTGTGCCCCTTCTCCCCGGAGCACTCATTGTCCCTCTCTCCGAGCAGGCCCAGGAAGATGTCAGGCAGCAGCTGCGAGAGTTTGAGGAGACCAAGAAACAGATTGAAGAAGATGAAGACCGAGAAATCCAAGACATCAAAACCAAATATGAGAAAAAGCTTCGGGATGAAAAGGAGTCAAACCTTCGGCTCAAAGGAGAGACAGGCATCATGAGGAAGAAGGTACGGGGCTGGTCCCTGAGAGGCCTGGCGTGGGAAGGGCAGCATTGCGGAGAAAGCATCGGGGCAAGGTGTGTGGGGGGGCAGGTGGAGGGCAGCAGAGGCCCCCGCCACCGCAAATGTCCTCACCTCCAGCAAGTGGGTTAGGAATGGAGCACCGCCTGGTGTGAGGGTTCTCTCTGCACCGTCAGGCTGGAGGATCCTCACCACCTCCTCTAAAGGGGTCACGGTGGGGGCATCCCCTTTTCTTTCTGGGGATAGTGAGGTTCACTGTAACACTGATGGACATTCCCTGGGCTTTCATTTATTGGCAGGTAGGAGTCAGTCAAAGTTTTCAGAGCTACATCCCCAATAGAAATGGAAATGAGGTCTTGTGGAGGTGAGGCAGTTTCCACTGGAGGTGTCCTCAGGCTCTCAGTGCAGGGAGTCCTGGGTGGCTCCTGCTTGGGCTCCATGGGTGGGAGCAGTGTGGGGCCGTAGGATGCTTAACTTACAGGACGGGGCAGATGTGTTTAGTCACTGGTGGTTGGTGTGAGGAGGGATTCAACTTAGAGATCCTTTTAGAATTGCCAGTTTCCCCAAAATGTTTAGTGATAGAGAAGCCAAGTTCAAAGCAAGCTTGCAGTCCTTCCTGCTAGAAATCACACTACTAGCCCACCCAGGGGACAGCCATGTTTTTCCTTCTTGGACATGGCGAGGAATACTCATCAGTTAGGGCTCCATATCTGTGACCTTGATGGGAGATAGATTCCAACCTTTCAAGGCCGGCATGGTCCTGGAAACTCTGGGTCCACTCAGGGAGTTGGTCTCTGGGGCCCCTTGCTGCAGACAGTCCGTCCCCACCTGAGGGGGTGGGCCTGGGTCTTACCAGACAGAATACTACAGGCATCATCCATGTGGCCTGGGAAACTCCTGGCTGTCCCAGACTCTGATGGGGAGCTCTTTACATTTACAGACAGTTGGGAGGAGCGGAGGGAGTTCAAAGACTTTGTTGTTGCCATCTGTACCTTTAGTTCAGCAGCCTGCAGAAGGAGATTGAAGAGCGAGCCAATGACATTGAGGTCCTGAAGGGAGAGCAGGTGAAGCTGCAAGGAGTCATTAAGTCCCTGGAGAAGGACATCCTGAGCCTCAAGCGGGAGATCCAGGAAAGGGATGAGACGATTCAAGATAAGGTGATGGCGCATCTTCCCTGCTCCCTCCGCTGCAGCCTGGGAGGGCCCAGGCAGTGGGGGCAAAGTTCAGGAGAGAGGGCCCCTGGCTTCTCGGAGCATGTTTATTTAACTTGAGCGGTCCGTGAAGTGCTTTGCACTGGGCTAGTTGCTGTCAACACATCACATTCAATTCTCCCAGCAACCCCAGGGGCCAGGAGCAGCCCAGTTGTAAAGTTCAGGAAACTCAAGGTTAAGTATCTTGCCCAAGGTCACACGATTTACAGGTGACTCCTTGGGATAAGAACCTGGGTCAGCTGACTGCAAGGGCCCTGCTCCACCACTCCGAGTATCCCTGGGTGACCTTCCCATGGACTGGGGGCAGCTCACCCACCCATTGGCCACACGTTAACCTTCTGGCCAGAGAGGAACTCCCCCACGTTGGCCCCACAGCTGCCGGGCTCCCCAGAAGGCTGGTATCACTTTTCAGGGTGCCTTTTCTCACAAAACACTGAGAAGACGGACACATCACATTTTGTGGGACACACCACCTCAATATCCGAAATCCCGTATCATCCTCCTGAGCAAATCCAGGCTTTCCTGTTACCGCCTCGGGCCAAATTCTCCCTCGGAGAGAACACGTGGGCCGTGGCCCAGTTAGCCGGTTTCCACACAGGTGCTTCCCTTCAGCTGCCAAGGGCTCTCAGGCAGCTTCTCCACGCCTTTGTTTTCTCACCTGTGAAACTGGCCCCTCAGGGCATCTCATGAGGATGAAATGATGTCGTACCCACATGCAGTTTCTACATGTGAGTGTCCATGTGTTTGTCCAGGCATTCTTTAAGGGAGGGTCCAAAGCTCTGTTCAGATTCTCAAAGCAAGGAAGAGGAGCGACAAGATAGAGGTGAAGACCTGACCTAGGAAATTGCAACAGCCTCCTGACCGGTCCACAGGCCTCTCTTCCTACCCCGGCCCCCAGCTCCTTGCCACCATCCTCTGTGACTACATCAGTCTCCCACGTACACTTCCATCCCATTGCCTACTGCAGGGGTTGGCAAACTTTCTTCTCTGCAAATGGCTAGGTAGTGAACACCTCACTCTTTGCAGGCAGGATAGTCTCTGGCACAACTGTTCCACTCTGCCGTCATAGCGTGAAACCAGCCGCAGACAACACGGAAAGGAACGGGCATGGCTACATTCCAATAAAGCCTCATGAAAACAGGCAACACGCCAGATTTGATCCGAGGGCTGTAGTTGGACCAACTCCTGGCCTCCTGGGTACATTCAGAGGCTTTTGTCTAACACGAAAGGCCCTTGCCTCCATCGCCTGCTCCCCTCCAGCCTCCGGTGTCCCTGTGGACCACCCGCCACTTGGTTTCAGCGCCCTCAGTGCACCCTATCCCGTCCACACCCTCCTCCTCTGCACCACCCATCACAGTGTGGGCGGGTGGGCACGTTTGTGGATACTCCCACTTCCCCAGCTAGTGTTTTCCTTTAGGGGGAGCATCTCTGTCATTTTTTTTTTTTTTTGGTATCTCGGACCTTGCTGAAAGGTCTCTAGTAAACATTTGATGGATAGATGGACCTACATTTTAATTACTATTGCCTTGCAACAAATTACCCCAAAACTTAGTGGTGAAAGACAGCAAGTCTTTTATTATGCCCACAGATTCTATGGGGCTGGAATTTAGACCGGGTGCCACAGGTTGGGTTGTCTTTGTCCCCAGTGTCTGGGGCCAAGCCGGGCCTCAGTCAGGGGGACTCGGGCAGCTGGGGGCTGGAAGGCCAGCTTATAAGGTAGACTTGTCATTCATGTGCTTAGCCCCTTGGCAGGGACGGCAGGGAGGCTGGGATCAGCCAGGACTGCCCACCAGAGCATCTAATGTGTTCCCCAGCCTGGAGGTGTCAGTGTAGTGACACTGCTTATGTAGCAGGTGGCCTACCCAGAGAACCAGGTGGCAGCTGCTTGGCCTTTCCTGAGCCAGCCTGCGGAGCCACACAGCACCGTGTGAGCTGGAAGTCCAGCCAGATGCAAGGGGAGGCAATCAGATCCTACCACCTAATGGAGAAGCATAAGGTCAGACTGTACAAGAGCACATGGGCGGAGAAAGGCTGGGGAGGCCAGCTCTGGAAAACACATGGCCACAGCCTGTACGTGAACGAGTGAGTGAATGCATGAAGCGCTGGCCCGGGAGCCAAGGAGCAGTGCTGCCGCCCCGTGGGGAGCCTGCCCTTGTGTGTCCAGCAAGGAGAGCTGACTGTGGCCTCTTTGATCAGGAGGGCACAGGATGTGTGCTCTTTGCCTAAAGGGATCCCATCTTCCCAGGCCTCTGGACACCTCATTTCTCTCTCACCTGCAGGAGAAGAGAATTTATGATCTGAAAAAGAAAAATCAAGAACTAGAGAAATTCAAGTTTGTCCTTGACTACAAAATAAAGGAGCTAAAGAAGCAAATAGAACCTCGAGAGAAGGAGATCAAGGTGATGAAGGAGCAGATCCAGGAGGTGAGAAGCCTTCTGCCACTCCCTGCCCTCTCCAGCCCCCTGCCCCCTCCAGCCCCCTGCCCCCTCCCCTGCTACTCCTGGCTGGCCTGTGGGGGATGAAAGGAAGCTCCCCTCACAATCCCTCCCTGTTCCCAAGGTGTGTGCAGCTTCCGCTCTGTGGAGGGTGCCACAGAGAAAGCCCAACCAGGTGTTCAGCTGAGCAAAAGCAAAATGCTTTGGGATCTCTCTTGCTGAGTGGTCCTCAGAGTGGTCTCTGGCCCTGCCAGCACCTCAAGGTGCATGCCCTCAAAGGGAAACCGCGGATGTTGGGCCTTCAGCCACCAGGGGGCAATGTGCACTCAGCCATGAGCCTTGGGCACCAGAAAGTACAAGCCTCCAGTTCACTCTTTTCTCAGACTGGAAATGTTGGTTGGGGCCCTCTGCAAGGCTGTGTTTGAACTTCATCTGATAAGGAATGGGAAGTCATCAAAGGCCCTTGAGCAGGAGAGTGGCAAAATTAAGTGTGTGTTTTAGGAAGCAAACAGGATGAAGGCAGCAAGATGAGAAGCAAGAGCAACTGGAGGAGGGCTTCTGAGAGTCCAGTGAGGTACAAGTGCCCTCGCTTGGCCCCTCTGCCCCTTGCATTTCGACACGTATCCACCTGTCAGCCTCCCCTCCCTGAGCAGAGCAGCTGACGGATAAAAAACCAAACTCCTGACTTCCCCTTCCTCATTTCCCATTGCTTCAGTACAGGGCACTGCAGGCCACCCATGTGCTTAATGTAGACATATAGACGTCTCCCTGCTTCTCCCTTTCCCTGAACTCCTGTATCCACCACATCTTCACCAGTGCCCGTCTGATCGATTTCCAAAAGACATCTCCAATCCAACCCTCCTTCCTTCCTATGGCCATCACCCTGGCCCAAGCTTCCGTCACCTCTGGTCCGGACTTGCCTCCACCCTCCAGTCTACTGTCCTCCACACAGAGGCCACAGCGGGCCCCCACAGTGTCACATCCCACCTAGAATAAAAGCCAGACTCCCTGTGGGGCCCAGGAGACACAACCCAGCCTCTACCTCCTCTCCAGCCTCATCTCCAGGCTCCCTCCCCTTCTCCAGCCCACGGGCTTTCTGGCAGCTCTGAGGACAAGCCAAGCGTTTCCCAGCTCTGGACCTTTGCATTGCTGCTTCCTCTGCCCAGAAGGCTCCAGATCTTCACACTACTGGTTCTGCGTCTTTCAGAGTTTCAGCTCATACACGAGTCACCTCTTCAAGGGGGCCTTCCCTGACCTCCCTATCCAAAATAACCTCCGGCTCCCCCTCCATTTTCTCTGTGCTGAGCAGGGATAACAAGGAAAAAGGTGTCAGCATTGGTGACTCAACTAGAATTGGATCCACAAGCGCTACGGTGGAAAAAATCAAAGCCTTTTCTGTAGGAAGCCCAGGGAAGAAGCCGGGTGTAGGATTTCTAGGCCCAGGGAGGTCCAGAGGAGGTGTGTCCCTGTGTCAGTGACTCTCCCTGGCCTCTGGGATAAGGAAGGATGCCCCCACCTGACCACAGAGCTGTGCTCTCCAGGCCTGCTGTCACTCTTGAGTGACTTCAGGGCCCAAAGATGGTAGCCAGAGAATATGAAAGAGAGAGTAGAGGTCCCACCTGCCTGGGAGTCAGTGTGCCACAGGCCCTGGAAACCACTGCCCATTTCTCCCTCCTCATTTGACATATTTGTCAACCACGTTTAAGATTGGGTCAGTCACTTTCCACCCCAACATACTTGAGAGCTTATTCATTTCCCTTCAGGAGCTGGGCCAACCATGGCATTGATTCTCAGCAGGGGACATGTCCCAACCTTGGGAGTAAGCAAACAGGGCGCCTCCTACTCCACCCTGGTACCAGTTGCTCCCAGGACTGACCGCTGGCCCCGACTCCTTCCTCAGAGGTCTCTGATCTTGGGGCTCAGAGGCACATTTGGGCTTCTTTGTCCACGTACAAAGTGCTTTCAGTAATGAGGAGAAGGTTCTTCTAAAGTCTGCCCCTTGGTGTTCAGAACACGAATGTGGCTCATTAGGACTTCCTGGTGTCCCCAGAAGGTGGCCAGGAGCCTTGAAATCTGAGCAGAGGGCCTGAAACAGATTAGAGGGGCTACTCCATCCAGCTCTGCACAAAACCAGTCAACTGTCCCATGTCCCCAAAATGGCAAACCTCTCTACTAACAGGAGCACCAGGGTCCACCAGATTCAGTGTGTAAATAAATCAGCATCACTCCTCCCCTTTGGGAGGAATTAGGCCAACTGAGAGCTCCCCCACAGCTGGTCTTGTGCACATCAGAAGCTCCAGACACATCTGTCAGTCACATCTTCGGTTAATAAAAAGGCAACAAAGAAAATATTTCGGAAGTTCCTTGTGGTTTCTGCTTTCTCTTTTTTCAATCAAAGATATTTATTTATTTATTTATTTATTTATTTATTTATTTCTAGAAAGAGGAAGGGAAGGAGAAAGAGAGGGAGAGAAACATCAATGTGTGATTGCCTCTCATGCACCCCCTACTGGGGACCTGGCCTACAACCCAGTGTGTGCCCTGACTGGGAATTGAACCCAGTGACCCTTTGATTCACAGTCCAGCACTCAATCCACTGAGCCACCCCAGGAAGGGCTGCTTTTTGTTCTGAAGATGGGACACTCCCCACATTTGTAGTTGTTAAGACCCTTTCAATAAAGTGACTAGGCAGAGCCTCCTCAGCTTCCTCTTCCCTGTCTTTTGCCTTTGGCTGGGGACGCCTACACGCCAGTTCCTCCAAACTTTCTGCTTTAGAATCGACACTGATGTGTTGTGGGCCCAGAGGGTCGAGATTCACTTACACAACGTCACAAAGAAGCCAAGGAAGGTGCTTCTCTGCAGGACCCTGCCTCAGGTTAGAATTGAGGTTCCAGTTCTTGAGAGTTATCAATTTATAGGGAATGCAAGAGAAGGCAATGAACTCGGTTAAAGGAACAAGGCACCTAAGAGTGGAAAATTCATAGCCTGGCTATAGAAACCTATGGTTGGGTTAACATGCCAGCCAAGGTGGTGGGGGCTTTGGGGATGGCAAGGAGTGAAAAGAAAGGTTCTGTTCCAGAGGACATGTGGGAACTAGAAAAGACATATCCTGGTAACAAGGGAGACATTCCCATTAAAAGATTTCAATTCAAACCTAATTTTCATTCTCTTATTTTCTTATTCTTGACTCTGTCCCGTGTTTTCTACAGATGGAAGCTGAACTGGAGCGTTTCCATAAGCAGAACTCCCAGCTGGAGCTGAACATCACGGAACTGTGGCAGAAATTAAGAGCCACCGATCAGGAGATGCGCAGAGAGAGGCAGAAGGTGCGAGGATTCTCAGCGTCTGGAGCTCTTGGATTCGGGATCTGGCACCTGTCTGCCGCGGGCAGCTGGCTTCTAAGAGACAGACCCAGCCCACTGCTAAGATACATTCCCGTTTTAACTGGCGTCCTTGCTCACAGCCCTGCCAGATTTCAGGCCCGTGCACATTTACATGACTGAATCCATCTGGGACTAGAGGGTGCCTTTGGGTTAAGTGACCAGTGAGTGGGAGACCATTTTCATGGGAATGCTGACAGCCTTGGCTTGTTTGTCCTGGGAAGGAGCATGCTCAGAGAGGCCATTTGTAGTCGGTGGTTGAAGACCTTGGCTACCAAATCAATGCTGAGTCCAGGAGGATCTCTGAGATCACCAACTCTGGTGTCTTTGTGTAAGAAATAAGGAAAGCAGGTCCAGAAGGACCAGGATGTTAAGAAACTTCACCTGGCATCCATCGTTAGTAGGTACAGAGCTAGTACCAGGAACCAGGTCTTCCGGCCCTGGGCCCAGCCTTGGCTGCACCCTCACCTGCTGGCAACGGCACCTGTAATGTTGGTTGGGTCAGACTGAATGTTTCCATTCCCCACATTAAGCACTGGCTCTGTACTAGGTAATAGTAGAAGCTGCGGTAGAGCTGCAAACGTGAACCGACACAGATCCTGCCCTTCACAAACTGAAACAGTTGGCAGGTGATTTGTGGCAGGTGTGTCATAATTGTAATGCATGGTGGAAAATCATGGAATATGAATACAGGGCCATGGGAGCCAGGAGAGGGGAGAGAACGGCTATGTCAAGACTAAGGGGACATGGGTACCAGAGAAAGCATGATGGAAAAGGGAGGATCTAGCCCAATTTTGTCTTTTTCTTCCTCCTACCCATCATAGCAGCCTTTGGGAAGGATAAGCCCTGGGTGAGCTAGAAGGGGGCATGGAAGCCCTGGCCCAGGGACCTGCAGGAGAAGTGATGCCCCATCTTGGCTCAGAAAGGAGTAAGGGTGACTACCATGCTCCCTTTCCGCTCTGAAGGCCTGTGCTCCTGAACGGAACCAGAGCCAGTAAAGGAATCACTCTGTGTCCCCTTAAAGATGACGCTGTTCAGGCCAGGTGCACAAGAGTTTTAGTGCCTCCACCTCCAGCACCTCCAGGCTGTGTGCCCATCCAGGTCTCCATACCCAAGTCCCAGATGCGGTGTCTCCTGTCCCTCTCTGCAGCCATTGGCCTGCAGTCCCTGCCCCTGGAGAATCCCTTGCATGCCAGAAGTAAGCACCTCTGGTTGCAGGAGCGGGACCTGGAGGCGCTGGTCAAACGGTTTAAGACAGACCTGCACAACTGCGTAGCGTACATCCAAGAGCCCCGGCAGCTGAAGGAGAAGGTCCGAGGTCTCTTTGAGAAGTACGTGCAGCGGGCAGACATGGTGAGCTCTGCCTACCTTCCCGCCCTCCCCTTCCCCCTGGTCTCCCCCCCACCACCCACCCTCGCTCACTGAGAACCTTCTGCCCCATCAGGTGGAGATCGCAGGGCTGAACACAGACCTGCAGCAGGAGTACGCCCGCCAGCGGGAGCACCTGGAGAGGAACCTGGCCACTCTCAAGAAGAAGGTGGTGAAGGAGAGCGAGCTGCACCGCACCGATTACGTCCGCATCATGCAGGTACCTGCACGCTCCCTGCCAGCTCTCTCGGAGGCCAAGCCCTCCAGATGAGAGAGCCTGTGAGGGCCTCTGAGACTTCCCAATGCTCAGGGGACCCGCTGGCTGTCCCTAAAACCTTCACTTCGACTCCTCCTCTCAGACCTTCCAGAGCTCGTCCTGGCTGTGCCCAGGGCCCAGAGCCCCACCTTGGGGGTCTCCCAGGCATGTCTGTGCCCAGGCCCGCCCCACCGCTGTCCGTGAGTTTCTCCCCCCTCGCTTCACCTGTTTCTCTCCTCTGCTTCATCCTTACCCAGGGCACTCCTGTGTCCTGCCTCACTCTTCTCGCTGACCCCTGTCCTTTCTGGACCTGCATCCGCATGATTTTAGCTCCCTAAGTCCCACTCTCCTTTCCCTTTCCTTCATTTCCAGCTCTTATTGCACCTTACTTTGTTCTGCTGCTTTTTATTCTGCTACAGGTATCACATGGTCCCTGCAGGCCAAGTTCTCTCCTCTGAACGCGCCTGTCTCCGCCCACCTCATCTGACTTTTCTGGTGCCTCAGGTTCCTACCCTTATCTCTGGGGTGCAGAGCTGACCACACCCACCCGGAGAGCCTCGCTCTGATTTAATGAGCCCTCCACACCCACCTCCCAGGATCCTCCATAGGGCTGTGCAGAGAACCTGACCCCATTAAGGCCACCTCCACTTAAGCACATTATCAGGACTGCCAGTCAGGCCTCTTCTGCCAGATTTCTGTTTGGGTATCAGTATTGTCTGAGGCAATTAATGTGGATTAATCAGAACCGCATTAATAAGGCACATTCCTTTTTATGCTTATATTTCATTCATGCCATAATTAAAATACTGGAATGGGGATGGGCCGCAGTTGGATCGAGACAAGCCAGTGTCCAGCTTGGCCAGTCCGTCCACTGCTGGGCAGAGCACCCTGCAGTTCAGGCCAGGCCCAGGCCTACTGGGTCCCATGCCACCTTACAAGTAGCCCTTGCTTAAAGGCAGCCCACACCGTCGATAACCCCTGCCCCACTCCATGGCCAGGAGAGCCGTCAAAGGCCCAGGGGCAGGGGTGGCTGCAGTTGGTGAGGCCCTGAGGCACAAGCAGTGGATACACAGAGCCATTGCTCAGGGTCTCAAGGGCCCCCAAGCAGGAGGAACCCGCCCAGGAGTACAATGTGTGGGGCAGTGGGACCAGTGGGGCCGCAGGAGCAGTCGTCAGCAGGTGATGCTGCTGAGCTCTTGTCTGTGTCCTGCTACCAGAGCACAGGCCCGAAGGGCCTGCCAGGGGCCTGTGCTTCTCCCCATGCCAGGCAGACTCCCAAGCAAATGTCAGTTGTAGCAGAAGAAGGCTAAGGAAAGAAAGCGAAGACTGCAGGCTAGACAGAAGGTGCAAGCATCAGCATGAGGCCACTCGGGGGGGCCCCCTTTTGCTCCTCAGTGCCCCCAGAGGCCATGTGTCCACTCCTGCTGGGCCAGGGTGCAAGTCAGGTAGAGGGAGCAGCAGAGGCCCGGCAGGGCGCCTGGCCAGCCCTGTCACTCACTCCCCAATGGCGGCAGAGGGAAATCCCTGGAGGAGTGTTTTTTTGGCCAGCATTGTAAGCCCATGTGCCGAGGGGCCCCTAGAAGTGCCCCAGACAACTGCAGGGAGCAAGAGGGGGGCTGCGGGCAAGGTCTGCACCCCTTGGCCAGGGAGACAACTTGCTTTTTACCACAGGCTCTGTGTAACACTTTATTTGGAAAAATTTTTTTTAAAGGAAACTTTTCAAAACCACTGGTCTGGCCCTGGCTGGTGTGGCTCAGTTGGTTGGAGCATAGTCCCATAAACCAAAAGGTTACAGGTTCAATCCCTGGTCAGGGCACGTGCCTGGGTTGTAGGTTCGGCCCCCCAGCCTGGGTGCCTACCAATCAACGTTTCTCTCTCGCACAGATGTTTCTCTCCCTTTCTCCCTCTTCCCTCTCTAAAAATCATGAAGCCTGTACTCAGATGAGGATAAAAACAAAAAAACAAAGAGACCACTGGTCTGGGTTTTAAAAATCGTTCCTTTCTTTGATCTTGAGTTGAAGGTGAGGTCTGGGCTGGGGCAGCTGGGTGTTGGGCAGGTGCTGACGCTGTGCAGACCCCGTTTACCTGCCAGGGCCACTGAGAACACTCCTTAACGTCTTCGGGAGCCACCTTCCCTGTCTGCAGAATGGGGGAAAAAACGCCAACTTCAGCGAGTTAATGCGAAGTTTGGACGCGATAACTAATACAAAGCACTCGGCACTGGCCAGATACAGAACAGGCACTCAAAAATTATTTCCCTTCCTATCTACCAAGCGAAAGGCCTGTTGAAGAACCAAGTTGGAAATCCAGTGGGAGAGCCTGGAAGGCCACCACAACACGGACCAGGGGTACCTGTGGGCTGGGGGGACCCGAGAGGGGGCCACTCAACGGATCCCAGGCCCCCCCAGCTGGGGCCCCAGGCACCGGATGCCTTGGTATGCACGGATAAGGGGCTGTGTCTGCAGGATCCAAGGCCCTCACATTGTCTGAACATCCAAGGCCTTCAGTCCAGAAAGGACAAGAGAGGCCAGGGTGGACACGGCATCTGAGAGAAACTCATTAGGAAACAGAAAATGAGGTCACTGTCTCATCTGAATGTTCAGACAGGAGCACAGAGTCTCCGGCATGCTTGCAGATATGTTAGCGAGTTGCTGTGGACTACAAGTATGTAGGACACATGCTTTGCTCACTCATTGTGAGTGTTCTCGGGGCTTCTTACCCGGACAGTTCTGTGCCATCCGTGCAGGACTCCAAGGTGGCCGTGGCAGCAGGCCTTCCCGCAGGGAGCTCGTCGGAGGGGGCTGGAGTGAGACACAGGGAAGCACTGCTCGCTCAGTGTCTCCGGGGCTGTGAGCTCCTCAGAGAGGTGGGCTGCAGTCAGGGGAAGCGGCCTTTGAGCCGGGCCGTGAAGGGTGAGCAGAGAGTGAAGCAAGTCGGGGAAGAGCCTTTCAGTCAGAGGGCACAACCCGAGAACACACAGAGAAGAGCAAGGCTGTGGGGCGTTCGGGGCACCAGGGGGTCCACAGACCTTACTCCAGTGCCTGGCACGGGGACAGGGAGGAGGGCCCACTGCGACAGCAGGCAGCTTCGGGTCACACTGGAAGGGCTTTCCCTGCCGTGCCGAGAAGGATAAAGTTCACCTGATAAGCAGGTGCCACCTAAGGTTTCTTAAGCAGGAGGGGTGTTGTCTGTTCCAAAAAGGTTAAGTCAGTTGGCCAGTGGAAAGGCCAGTGGGGAAAGGTAAGTGGCAGGAAAAGCCACGTTAAAGGAAGATGAGAAGGGCTTGGAAGGGGGACATGTCAAAAAACATTTCAGAGTCGAAATGATTAGTAGCAGTGTCAGGTTAGATGTGAGAAGGAGTTTGAAAGAAGAGCAGAGAAATGGCTCATTTGTGCAATTTGGCAGATGACGAGCCCGTCCACTGTGGGTTCCAGAAAAATGCCACCAATGCAGGGCTTCCAAGTTCACAGAATAAATCAGTTGTCTGCTCTTTCTACATGGCGGTCTTCTTAAAGATGCTGACTCAGGAGAAGCCAGTAGGGGGTGCTATAGGCATTCTTTCCCTTCCCTGCCAACTGCAAGTGTTAGATGTGCCAGCCAGTTCCCACCTGTGGCTCTCCAGCTGCACACTCTGCCAACAGCAATCCTGGACAGCTTTGTAGAGCCCCTTTACGTAGAAGGCTTTTTATATCAACAGACCTCAGCATCCCCAGCCAGCCTCTCACACATACCCTCTACCTGGGCATTCGGTGAACCCTGGGCCAGGGAGAGGCTGAGCCGGGGTGAGGGGTCTGGAGTATATGGGAGGGGTTTCTGTAGGCCTGCCTGACCTGACCGAGGAGGGATCAGGAACAGAAGGTGCAGCGAACCTGTCTCATTCACAGTTCCAGTGCGCAAAGCCGTCAAAGCACATGCAGGCGCGCCGCATTCGATGGAGCCTCACAGAGGCCGTGTTTTCACAGAGTGAGGTGTGTGGAGGCGTCGAGCAAGGCTATCAGTTTTCCAGTAGCTCAGATGATAGTTAGCACTTTTTTCGTAATAAAGTGTTTTTAACTAAGATGCATACATTGTTTTTAGATATAATGTTATTGCACTTTAATAGACTGCAGTGTCACATAAAAATAGCTTTTATATGCACCGGGAAACCAAACAATTCATGTGACTTGTGTTGCGTTATTTGCTTTGTTGTGGTGGCCTGGAACCAGACTCGCAATGTTGCCCCGAGGCTCGCCTGCCTGGGCAGTTGCCTTCGGTGTGACCTCGGGATCCTGGGGACACGACCCATCCCAGGAAGTACTCTTTAGGGAGGAGAGCCCAATCAACCCTTGAAGTTATGATTACTTTTATTATCATCACTGAGTATTTAGTGTCTCAATTCCGGCTTGCTCCCTCTGGACTCTGGGCCTGAAACGCTCTTCCCTGTCCCCCTCCCCACCTCACCACGGAGCCTTCCACACTCGGGCTGAGGGCCCCTCTTCAAACTGTCATGGTGTCTCTTGGCATTGGATCTAAGCAGGACCTCCTGTGTCTGGCACGAGGACCAGTGTATAGCAGGCCTTTCGGAGCTGGTTCTTAAGTAATTTTTAGGACTGAATGAATGAACAAACAAAAGACCAAGCAGAGCAGGGGACTCTGGCTGCGATGGGTCAAGGGTCTCCATCATACCCTGATAAGAACCGCGCCGTGTCCTGGAGGGCCCTTCGGTGGCCAGCACCGTGGAGGTGTCCAAGGCTGACGGCTGGGTCTGAAATGGGCATTCACACCAAAAAGTACCGGGAGCCAGAAGTGCCAGTCATGTGACGGGGTTGTGGGGGGATGGGTGGGGAAGAAACCTAAGGCGGGGTTCACTTGGGGCCGTGATGGGAGCAGAGGGAAGAGATGCTGAGAGCTGGTGACAGGCTGCAGCAGGAAGGGAGGACACAAGGTTCAGTTCCGACACAAAATTCACAGGATCCAGTGACAAAATGGACGGAGACGACCAAGAAGAAGTAACTGGAGATGCTAGGAAAGCTGACCGGTGTTGGTTACTGTGCTGAGGAGGCGGGGGAGTGAGCCTGAGGGACACCAATGGGGAGGGGAGTGGGGAGAGCTCCTGCATGTGCGCGAGTTGCCTGCGAGCTTCCTGCGGCTCTTCTGAGAGGCCTGTCTGTCTCCGCGGTCCCGCCCGACCTTTACCCCCGGCTTGTGATTTCCTCATTACTGAGAATCTCATCTTATTCAGCCTTGTGTGCACTGCATTAGTTATTCATCTGCTGATCCAGTCCACAAATATTTATGGAGCACCTCTTACAGGCAAGACAGAGTCCAAGGTCCTGGAACCCAATAAATACACATTCAATTAATCGTGTTATGACTGGAAGTCGGCAAGGAGGAGTTCCGGGCCAGGAAACGCACAGAGCTTGACCGGGGAGCATCTGGACAGGGAAGGTGGGAGACTCGTCACCCAGGCCTGGGGGAGTGAAGGGGGTGAAGGAGCAGGTGGAGAAAAGCTGCCGACTTCACGCAGAAACAGACACAGAGCCTCACCTGAGAACGAGGGATTGGCAAAAGGGAGGGATGGGGAAGGCTAAACTGAAGTGACACCCTGAAAATCTGAAGGCGTGTTTGACTTTAGATGAAGAGGCCCTGGAGGGAAAGACTATGGTGGGGGGGTCCCCAGGTCAGCCCCTGCTCCCTCTCGGGCCCCACTAGCTTGTCCCTGTGACTGAGAAGGGTGAGGACTCGGTCAGTGGGTGAGCAGAGCTTCCAACCCTCCTGTTTTGGGGGCTCTGACTCCGCCCTCACCGCTCCCACACCCTGTCCCGCGTGGGAGCAGAGCTGATTCCTGGCACGAGTTCATTTTACGTGGGTTCAGCCTGCGTTTGCTGTTTTTGGTGCTCTCACCCTCCAGGCCTTGCTACCCACCGGTGGTCTGGCTCACAGACCAGCTGCAGCATCTCTTGGGAGCTGGGTAGAAACGCAGACTCTCAAGACCAGCTGCAGAGTCAGAAGCCGCCTTTGACAGCATCCTCAGGTCATTCTTGTGCACAATCATGTGAGAGACACCGAGTGCTGTGGCTGTGGGCTCTGAGAGCCAAGTGGCCAGTGTCTCCCTGGGCCTGTGGTGAAGGGGGCACCTCCACAGAGCCACCCTTGGTGCCCCCATGCTGAGTGTGAACAGGAAGGTGTGGGAAGGGAACAGTGTTCGTTCCCAGGGTGCAGAGGCCCCGCCGCCTGGTGTCCTGCGGGCTCCTCATCCTCACTCCTCCCCACTGCCCTCTCTCACTTGCCATTTCAGTGCTGCAAGTGCCCCCCCACCAGCTCTCCTCCTGCTGTGGCAGTCATCTGGGAAACCCCTTACCTTCTTGATGGCAACTTTTTCAAGCCTCAGCCCAAGAATCAATTCCTAGGAATCCCCCTGGTCATTCAGGCGGACCTAAGGACTTTTCTTCTGTGCGCCACTCCTGCATCGCAGCCCTCACGCCGAACTGAGCCCGGATCCCCTACTGCACCCAAACGCCCCAGGCAGGGGCCAGGTCTCACAGGGACAGCACGGTGCCTGGCACATAATTACTGTACTCGGTACATGTTGGATGGGTGATGCATGGGTGGGTGGGTGGGTGGAAACTGTCAAACACAAGAGGAGTGAACGTCCCGTGGATGCCCCATGGGTCAATGTTAATGACCCATTTGCTTTTCTGTGTTTGTCACTAAACAGTGTGCTCTTGGGACCTAACATGGTTATGTCTGTTTTTTGTCTGCATCTCAGGGACATGGCAGACACCTTATGAATGCAGGCTCAACAATGAATGGGGGAAATGAGTAATGTATAGGACCGCACTTAAGAGCTCGGAGCTCTGGAACCAGACTGCCAGGGTAGAACCCTGGCTCTGTCGCTCGGTGTCTGTATAATGCAGGCCGGCTCTGTAACCTCTCTTTGCCTCAGTTTTCTCTTTTGTAGGATTGTGATTATAACAGAATCTACTTATAGGGTTATTATGCGACTTCAATGCATTAAGTTCATATGAAGTTCTTAGAAAAGTGCTGCTGTTGCTGTTGATGTTGGAAAGAGGCTGGATGGACAGGAAAAGCGCACTGTCTATATCTTTTGAGTCCACCGGAAGCTGAGTTAGCTGGGACCTCGAGAGGCTGAGCCATAAGCAAAGAGAAAGGCTCAGGCCCCACTAGAGGAACAGAGAACTAGTTTGGGTCTGGGACCAACCCCACTCATGCCCCACACCCTCAGCTCTGGCCAGGGCAGGCCCTGTGCCCACTGCTCACTCAGCCATCCACACTCACTCTCTTTTCCTTCTTTTCTGCAGGAAAACGTCTCCCTCATCAAGGAGATTAATGAGCTCCGCCGGGAGCTAAAGTTAACCCGCTCCCAAGTCTATGACCTTAAAGCAGCCCTGAAGGTGATGAAGAAAGGCCAACCACAAGAGAGTTCAGAGACAGGTAATGTCGCCAGTGGCTAAAGAAGATGGGCATTGGGACAAAGGGACCAATGGCAGCTGTGAGCAGGTCTCCCTTTGGTTTCCAAAGCTTTCTCTCCCAAGTGTCTGCTTATACCAGGTCACATGCACCCCACGGCCTTCTGGGAGCCTCTGCAGCCACACACCATGTCTCAAAAGGATCTGTGAGGACCCTACCACATTCGAATAGATGCGGGTCCAAAATCCTTGAGGTTAGCTACGGTATCAGAATTTAGAATCTTTCGGATCTTAGAGCAGCAATTTTCAACCTTTTTCTTCTCTTGGTACTTACAAACTAATTACTAAAATTCGGAGGCACACCAACAAATTTATAATATTTTTTGCCAATCTGACCAAAAAATAGGTATAATTTTGATTCATTCACAGCAGGCAGCTATTGTGATGTTGGCTATCGTCATATTTTATTTGACAATCTAAGGGGAAAAGAGGTCAGTGCCCCCGACTAAATAGTCAGGTAGTGCATGTTTTAAAAACTCTTGTGGCACACGGTTGAAAATTGCTGTCTTGGAACATGCTGTGTACCGCATGTCCTAGGGCAGCGCTACAGCCTGGGGCAGCCCTCCAAACTCAGACACATTAGTGTTTCTGTCGTGACACAGATGGGCACTCACATTAAACTTCCTAATTAAAAAGGCTTTTTTAGTTTTAGAGCTTCTTGGCTTTTAGAACCGTGGGTAAGGGGTTGCAGACCTGCACAATGAAAGACCAAAAAATCAGAAGCTATTTAGAAGAAGGAAATGACATTATGAGTTATTACTGCAATTATATCCTTAAGTTCCTCTGAATTTTTGACAGCCAAGGCAAAAGAGGAAACAAAGAAATATGGGTATTTACACAGTTATCATTTATGGAAAAAGGAAGTTTCTTTTTCTGGAGAAACAAATCTTTCCCTGGCACTAAACTGCATGAAAAACTTAGCACATGGATGCTTATCAAAGGGATGCTGAATCACATAACCGACAGCATCTAACTATAGGTTTTCAGACCATTAAAAACATTTTTCAGATGCCCGTTTCTTATCTGGACAGTCAGTAAACACCAAGAGTGTAAGGCATTTCTATGGAAAATTAAGCCAACGTCGTTCAAGTATATTGTTTTCTAGGGGGTTACGTGCAGGAACAAAGCTCAGAAACTTCAGTGAACTGAACCAGCCCAGGGCTGTGGACTGGGCCTTCCAAGGGCCAGCTGTCTCGTGGGCTGTGGTTAAGACAGACACGGCCCCTGTGGGAAGGTGGCAGGAGGAAGCTAAGGAGCTCTCTGTATTCTTTTCATCACTTCTCGTGAGTCTAGAACTTTATACGTATACGTACAATGTTGTTGTCTCCTGTGCCCTTTTTACTAGAGTTGAAGAGAACTTGACACAGCAGCAAACCCTCTGAGTAGTGCCTGAAGTGGCAACATTAGGTCCAAAGAGTGACGGAAGAGCACAGCGTGTTACGAAGGCCGAGATGCTTGGCCTCCTGGAGGTGAAACCACCTTCGGTGGGAGGTGCAGCGTAGCTGTGCCCGTAAACAACTGCAGAACTCCTCTTTCAAAAATCCCTGGACTGCGCCCGAGCATCCCAGCAAACAATCAAACTGAGACCTCCTCGGGCTGATGTATGATATGTGCAGGTTTTTCTTACTACGATCATGGAAATTGTCAAACATTTTCAGAACTTGAGAGAAAAGTCTAATGAATCCCCAACCTCAACAAGTATCAATCCCTGGCACTGCTGCTTCGTCAGTATCCCCACCCCCAGGCGTTTCCCCCCACACCCACCAGGGAGTGGTTTTAAACAAACCAAACGTCACATCACTGCGTGATATAGTTTTCTCATGAGAGATACTGTCCCTAACGGCTGAAGGCGTGTATCACCAACCGTCTGCCTTGAGCGTGAAAAACCTCAGCTTGACCTCGGAGTTTGAACATGGGTCCACCAAGACATGTTAGCTCAGAATATACATCCTCCAATTGTCTAAGGAACTGACCGATTCCGTTGGGTTTTAAGAATTCTTCATCCAAACCCCCAAACCACCATCTTCGTTTTAGCTGCATTTATTATGAAGTTTCCATTCATACAATTAACGAACAGTTCTGACAGCCGTACCTGCTTGTTCTTCATTATTAAAACCATGTCATTAGAACTTCTAATTAAAAATACTTCATTGAAAACCGATTAAAAGTGGCATACATAAACCATAAGATCAAAGAAAACCCAGAAGGAAACAAGAGATGCAAAATTCTGAAAGCTGGAAAGCTGACACCCGAGTGGTGAGCAGACCCACCTCACAGGCACAGGAAGCCTGGCCCCTGCCTGTGGCAGGACTGTGGGACCAGAGGGGTCTGGGGCGTGTGGTGGGGCCCCCGGAAGGCTCGGGAGTCGGCAGCAGCAGACTTCCCCGGAAGTGGGAATACAGGTGGGGCTGAAAACCAAAGGGAAATTTTAAGAAGCTATTTGATCCACCTTGTGTCTAATACAATGGTTAAAAATAGACCGTCGGCGGAGCCATCATCGTGAAATTTTAGAACACCAGAGTACAAAGACAAAAATCCTCCAAACTTCCAAAGAGGATAAAGGGGGAATTTCATGCAGAGGATCAAAAATTCCTATTGCAAAATACAAAATCAACCCACAAAAAATCAGTTGCATTTCTATATACTAACAAGAACATTCCAAAAAGGAAATTAAGAAAACAATTCCATTTACAATAGCATCAGCATCAAAAAGAATGAAATAGGAATACACTTAACCAAGGAGGCAAAAGACATTTACACTGAAGATGACCAAACGTTGCTGAGAGACATTAAAGGAGACACCAATAAATAGAAAATGTCTCCTGATCATGAATCAGAAGACAATCTTGTTAAGATGCCAGTACCACCCAAAGCAACGTATTGACTCAATGCAATACCTGTCAAAAGCTCAGGAATGTTTTTTGATAGAAATAGAAAATCCAGCCCTGGCTGGTGTGGCTCAGTTGGTTGGAGCATCATCCCATAAACCAAAAGTTTGTGGGTTTGATTCCTGGTCAGGGCACTTGCCTAGGTTGCAGGTTCAGTCCCCGATTGGGCCACGTACGAGAGGCAGCTGATCGACGTTTCTCCCTCACACCGATGTTTTTCTTCCTCTCTCCTTCCCTTCCCCTCTCTCTAAAATCAATAAGCATGTCCTTGGGTAAGAATTAAAAAAAAAAACAACTCCTGAAATTCATATGGAATCCCAAGTTATTTCAAATAGCCAAACAATCTGAAAAAAAAAAGAACAAAGTTAGAGGTCTCATACATTGATTTTTCAAAATTTACTGCAAAGCTATGGTAGTCAAAACAGTGTGACACTGGCATGAAAACAAACATACAGATCAATGGATTAAATGGAGAGCCCAGAAATAAATCCTCACATATATGATCAAATAACTTTCGACATGGATGCTAAGATTATTCAACGGGGAAAAGACAATCTTTTCAACAAGTGGTGCTGGGAAAAGGAATGAATGTCCATGTGCAAAAGAATGAAGCTGGACCCTTACTTTATATCATATACAAAAATTAACTCAAAATGAACCACACACCTAAATAGAAGAGCTGAAACTATAAAACTTGAAGAAGAAAATATAGGGGGAAGGCTTTATTACATTGTATTATTTGGCAATGATTTATTAGGTATGACATCAGAAACATGGGCAACACCTCTGGCTGGTGTGGCTCAGTGGACGGACTCCCGGCCTGCGAACTGAAAGGTCACTGGTTCGATTCCCGCTCACAGCACATGCCTGGGTTCCAGGCCAGGCCCCCAGTTGGGAGCGTGCAAGAGGCAACATATCTTTCTCACACATCAGTGTTTCTTTCCCTCCCTTCCCCTCTCTCTAAAAATGAATAAAGTTGTTGTATTTTTTAAAAAAAACACAGGCAACAAAAGGAAAAATAGATAAGGGGACTATATCAAAATTTAAAACATTTGTGCATTAAAGAACAAGAGTAAAAAGGTAGACTACAAAATAGGAGAAAAATATTTACAAGCCACGTATATGATAAAGGATTGATACCCAGAATATATACAGTACTTCTACACCTCAACCACAACCAAAAAATAAAAAAAGAAGAAGAAGAAGAAGAAAAAGGGAGAGAGAGAGAGAGATTAAAATATGGGCAAAGGACTTGAACAGACATTTCTGCAAAGCAGATACAAACAAATGGCCCACAGGCACGTGAAAACATGCTCCCCACTATTAATGACAAGGGAAACGCAAACCAAAAATACCAGATACCACCTCACACCCACTGGGATGGCTACCATCAAAATAAACCAAACAGAAACAAAACTAAAAAAGAAAAGAAGAGGAGAGAAGAGAAAAATAACAGGTGTTGGCAGGGATCTAGAGAAACTGGAAGCCTGGTGTGCTGTGTTAAAATGGCACAGCCACTATGGAAAACAGTATGGCAGTTCCTCAAACGTTAAAAATAGAGTTACCATTTGAATCAGAACTTTTACTTCTTTTTTTTTTTAAAGGTTTTATTTATTTGTTTTTAGAGAGAGGGGAAGGGAGGGAAAAAGGGAGAGAAACACCATTGTGTGGTTGCCTCTCACGTGCCCCCTGCTGGGGACCTGGCCCGCAACCCAGGCATGCGCCCTGACTGGGAGTCAAACCAGCGACCCTTTGGTTCACAGGCCAGTGCTCAATCCACTGAGCCACACCAGCCAGGGCAGAAATTTCACCTCTGAGTATATACCCCGAAAAGTTAAAAGCAGGGTATCAAAGAGATATTTGTACATCCATGTTCACAGCAGCATTACTCACAGTAACCAAAGGTAGAAGCAGCCAAAGTGTCCCTCATAGATGAATGGATAAACAAAATGTGGTATGCACATACAATAGAATATTATTCAGTCTTTGAAAAGGAAGGAAATTTAGACATATGATACAACATAGATGAACCTTGAGGACACTATACTAAATGAAATAAGCCAGTCACAAAAAGACAAACACCTACAGTCCCACTTACCCAAGGTCCCTCTGGAGTAGGCATAGCGTAGTCAACCACAGCGACAGGAAGTAGAACCAGAGCTGCCAAAGGCGGTGGGTGGGAGAGAGCGGGGAGCTGTCATCCACTGAGTACAGAGTTTCAGGTTTGCAAGACGAGAATAATTCTGGGGATTGGTTGAGGAACAGTGTAAATGTCCTTAACACTGTTAAACTGTACACTTAAAATGGTTTACAAGGCAAGTTTTATGTTATACATATTTTACCACAATTGTTTAAAGGGAGTGGGGGAGGGGAGCCCAAGACTGACCTTTGGAAGTGCTGCCATGGAGGATGAGAGTTTGCAGACTGCAGACACGAAGAACTTGAATCTCACGTGTTACTTTCTCGGCAGTGTGCATCAGGCCAATGTGAAAGTGGGGACACTGGGTGGTTGGATCATCTCAGGTCTGGGCTGTGTGGGGCACATGGGGCCAAAGGAAAAGGCCTAGACCAGCGAGGGCACTGCAAGAAAAGGTGCAAGAAACTCACTGTGGGTCTAACTGGACAGAAAAGGGAGTGAATCTGAAAGCATCCCACTTGGTAGGTAAAAAATGGGGTTGTCCAGGAAGAAGAGGTGCAGACTCAGTCAAAGGCCAGCTGTCTCGAGCATAAGACCGGAAGGGAGGCCCTGATGGAGAACGCAGGCTCTCGTGTGACGAGGGAGGGGAGGCCACACAGACGCCAAGGACATTGATGCTGAGGGTCCAGCCTTGTGAGGCAAGGTTGTGGATGAGCCCTGGACCCTCATGGACACAGGTGTTGCCCAGGATGATGGCAGCACCTGAGGGTGACTGAGAGTCCGGGGAAAGGCCTCGAGAAACGTGAATGGGTGGCCGCAGTAGGAGGGGAGAGAGGAGTCTGTCTCCAGGAGTGGGGGTTTACCTGGGGAGGAGGACTGGCGGTCTGGTAGCAACCAGTCAACAGGAGAGGCCCCCGGCTTAGGGGTGGGGAACGGGAGAAGGAGCAGCCTGCCCTGGAGGGGGCCTCAGGGCAGGTGGTCTGGGGGCTCAGGAGAGGGCAGGGCCGAGGTCATGCTCAGCATTGGTCTGTCACTCTAAAGTGTGTCTCTTCATTTCTCCATCTCTGCGAGACAGTGAAGTGGCCCATCTCTGTATCCCTAGCAGCTGGGATTGAGTGTCTGCCCCATAGTAGGTGCTCGATAAAGGTTTGGGGAGGCAGGAAGGGAGCGAGGGAGGATATGCTGGTTTCAAAAAGGCTTTGCTGCCACTCAGTGACTGGCCCACATTAGTGCTGCTCCATCCCTTACAGTGTCCACTACAAACTTGCTCGGCATCACTCCCACCATGAGACTAAATGACCAAGAAGAAACCGGGAGAATTATTGAAATGCAACGCCTGGAAATCCAGCGCCTCAGAGACCAGATCCAAGAACAGGAGCAGGTCCCAGGGTTCCACCCCATCACTGGGATTCGGCTTCCTTCCCTCGTCGGGTCAGAAGAGGACTTTGAGGTGCAGATCAAGTGACCCCCTCCAGTGGGTGGGCTGTCTCCAGCCACACTAGAAGAAGCACTGTGCTCCTGTCCCCAGGCCAACTCTGGGCCACAGTCACTGCGGCACTGACTGCACTGAGGGCATCAGCTTCTTTCTCCTGCTCCAAGGAATGTGATGCTTGCTCAGAGTAAAGGTGTTTGCCCACAACTGTGTCCTACTCTCTGCTTAGCCAGGGGGTGGGGAAGGAGGAAGGGAAAGAGGGACCCTGAGGACTGGTGGGAGGGGCTCCTCCTCCTCCAAAGTCACTGCTGCCTGTCCCTGTGGAAACCACACTCAACTCGTAGCTGGCTTCCTGCCACCCCCTTTCCTCTCTGGGCTTCATGGATGGGTAGCCTGCTCCCAATTCTGACCTGGTTTCCTTCTCTGCCAGCCACGACGAGACCAGACAAAGCCTCCTGCATTTTCTTCTCCTCTGTGAAACCTAATGAGGTGTTCTGAGGATTCTTACATTTGTGTAAACATGAGAGTAAAATAATGAACATGGCGAAGTTCCCCTGGGTCTTCCTTATCTGCTGGCTCTGTTGTTAGAACTATAAGCAGAGCTCTGCCCTTACTTCTCTCACCTCCGTGCCACTCTAGACTTGTCATCCTTGTTCCTCAGGGCCCTCCCCACTCCTCCATTTCTGGGGGTCACAACTCCTCCTCGGGGCCCCAGACTGAATGTGTGACCCAGCCACACATAACAGAAAAGATAGTTGTTGCGCACTAAAGAGCAAAGCAATCTACCCAAATGGTCCTGTGTTCTCCCGCCTGCAGAGGCGAGGCACCCTCCTAAGACCCCATATTTGTTATAAATAACAAATATTTAAGTCCCCAGTCCCTGCAGGTCCCTGCTGGCTGGTTTAAACCTGGTGTCCCCAAGGCATCTCCCCAAGTTCCCCTGTCTGCTCTTGGGCACTGCCTTGGGTGAGTTTCCCCAGCAAGAGCTGAGACATAGATATCACACTCGGCAGATCTCTCCCGAGGGCTGGGAGTAGCTGAAGGCAGGCTCTGGGCAGAGGGCACAAAGCAAAATGTACACGGGACTCTCTCCCTAGCAATGCCCACCCTGCCCCCAGCCCACACCCAGTCTCAGTGGCCAGCTTATCTCCTCCAGACCAGTGTGCACCCCAGCATGTTCTCTGCCCACTGGGAGGCCAGGTCCAGGGTGCAGGGAAGCATCCAGGCACCCCTGAGAGACTCTTCCACTGAGATAACAGCCATGCTGGGTAAACAGGCTCCTTGGGAGTCAGGCTTCCCCATTCCAAACCAGCATCTGGGCTTTAACTCTGCAGGAGACACTAACTCAAGATAAGGTCAAGTTAAGGTCACTAACCCAAGACGGTGCCGGGTCTTGAAGACACACTGCAGAGCCCAGGGCCGAGCCACTGAGAGTCACTTCCCATGGCTTCCCAAGCTCTTGACACACTGGCCTCCTCTCGATTCCTCCAAAAGGCCAAGTTCTTCCCTGCCTCCAGGTATTTCCATGGGCTGGTCTGTCCGTCTGAAATGCTCTTGCCCTCACACCTCAGTCAGTGAACTTCTACTCATCCTTTCAGGGGATAACGGGAATGTCACTTCTTCAGGAAGACAGTCCCTGCCTCCTCCCGCCCCCATCTCAATGACATCCGCCACAGTTTCCTCTCATGACCCTCGCTGTGACATGTCTGTTCAATTGTCTGAGGCTGCCTCTCCTTGCAGGCTCTCAGTTCCATGGAGGCAAGGCTGGGTCTGATTTAAAAGTCCACTCAGGGCCCTGGCTGGTGTGGCTCAGTGGACTGAGTGCCAGCCTGAGAACCAAAGGGAATAGAACCAAAGGTTCAATTCCCAGTCAGGGCACATGCCTGGGTTGCGGGCCAGGTCCCCAGTAGGGGCACATGAGAGGCAACCACACATTGATGTTTCCCCCTCTCTTTCTCCCTCCCTTCCCCCCTCTAAAAATAAATAAAATATTTTTTTAAAACAAAATAAATAAAAGTCCACTCAGGTATCTGGGTGGATCATTGATTGAGTGGCCCAAGAGTAGAAGCGGGGGAACCGGTTAGGAGGACACTGTGGGACCACACGTGTGAGGACAGCTGCTGGAACCAACATGGAGGCAGCAGAGAAGCCGAGAAATGAGTCCTTCTGACTCTAGGACTGGGGGGAGTTATCCAAGCAACGAGGAAGGGAGAAAGACCGGGTAAGAAGGAACATGCAGAGGAAACTGGGGCTCTTCTCAGGGCCCTAGGAATTTAATTCGCTGTGGCTGGGATGTAGCAACACTCAAAGGACGGATGCTGGCCTGGCCGGGGCCCAGCTGCGGAGGAGAAAGCCCAGGCCAAGGAGGGCCCCACCCAGCGGGGCCTGGCCCCGTGGCCAGCAGGTCAGCAGCATGTTTTCTCAGCTGCAGAAGAGTGAGCACAGCTTCTTGCAAGCAAATCTGGGGTCAGAGGTCCAATCTTGTTTACCTCTCCTTGTTCTGTTATGTGCTCCCTGCGTCAGCCCGCTGGGTGACACTGATTGGGTGGCTGCTGCACCTCAGACCTCCTTCCGCTGCTGAAGCTGACCCCATGGGGCGGGTCTCACCTCACTGGCACCACTTCCTCCTTCACCAGGTCCCTCCCTCCAGTCCAGTCCTCACTAGTGGAGTGGGCCTGGCAGTCTCCTCCTCCTGCTGCAGCCAGCCTCAGGAACCTTGCTGGTCACACCGCAAGTGGCCAGGCATTGGCACACGGTCTCCACTCTTGCCCTTCCGGTTGCAGTCAGTCCGTCACTGAGCTCTGGGAACATGGTCAGTTCCGCTGTGACAGCTGACACCTGTGCAGGCTGCCCTCTCCCTGGGCCTCAGACTCCCATGGGCTCCCCTGCCCTCTTCTAGGGTCCGCATCAGCTGTGGCCAGACAGTGTGAGCTCCCGCTGAGCCTCCTCTGCTGTCCTGTTCTCCCAGCGCTGAAGACCCTGCCCCATAAGATGTTCTGGCACAGGCGTCTACCTTTCCCCATGTAGATCATGACCAGTCGTTACCAACCAGTGGCTCCCAAACGTAAAAGTAGTACCTGAGGGACCCTGGGGGACCTGGGAACACCTGTGTGTCCAGGTAGGGCCCACACCCTGCACTCATTGCTCTGGATTTGGAGTGAAAGGTGAGAGAGAGGCCGGTCAGGACCAGGAGTGGAGAAGAGGAGGGAAAATATCGTGAGTTCCCTGCCCCAGCTCATTCTGCCCGGGACTGGCCTCTCCTTGGGGCCAGGAGGGTAAATAAGTGTCAGACGTGTGCAAGAGGAATACACAGCCCAAAAGCTCACCAGGCACCCCTCTCCCTGCCTCTCCCAGGGAAGCGGACACCTTTATAAAGCTTTGCGAAGTGGCAAACCCTCGTGTTCTGCCTGAGGCTCAGCCTGCCCCACAGCAGTCAGCCAACCCTGACTCCTCCTCGAGGGAAGGAACAACCCAGTGCTGTCCCATCCGGGAAGGGAGCCGAGGGCCACAGTGGCGACTGCACAATTGCAACATGGCTAGTCTAACTAGGTAGAAGGCACACAACTTATTTTCAAGAATTCAGTCTCAATGAAAGGCCAAAATAGCTCATTTAATCATTTGTATATTAAAATGAAAATATTTAGGGGTGAAACAAAATGTTCATGTATGAGTATCTCTTTCTTTTTCACTTTTTTTTATCACAGCTACTGGAGACCTGAAATTACGTATGTGGCTGATGTTATATTCCTACTGGACAGCCCCTCCCCAGAGCTGGGGCGGGCCCGCAAGCACCCCCACAGCACAGCGCAAAGAAAAGTGTGAACAGGGCGAGCGCAATCCCGTGGTGAGCTGCTGGTGGAAAGATAACTTTGATTTGTTTTTCCTTGTCTCTTGCAGACACATCAGGAGGAGACAGCAAGAGGCACTCATCACAAGGGACCCAATCCAGGAGGTGGGGACAGCCTAACCCCTTCCCACAGCACTGCCCCCGCCCAGCCCACCCGGAACGTGTGTGGTGTGTGGTGCCAGATGCGCCTGTGGGCAGCAGAGCCCTGACTGTGCCCAGTTAGTTACACTCCAGAACCCACCACAGGCACCTCCAATGACAGCCAGGGCCTCACAGTGGCGTTCAAGGCGCAATGCAGCCTGAGCCAAACTTGTCTTTCCAGCTTCATCTCACATGCTCCCTGCTCAAGATCCACACACCTCGTGCAACAAATATTTACCGATTACCTCCCATGTGCCAGGCGCAGTGCTGGCTGAGGTCACCATAGTTTGCAAAATAGGCACAAACCTGTATGCCTTCAAGATCACACATCTAGTGGAGGGTGACAGATAAGTAAATAAGGAAAATCACAGCACATGCTGTCTGAGCAGTTGTGGGGAAAACACAGGGGCCATGGGTGTACCCAAGTGGCACCTAAACCAGACTGGAGGTCAGGGAGGGCTTCCTGGAGGAAGTAACATCTCAGTTAAAGAATTCGAATTCGTGTTGGTCAGACCAAAGCTGGGGTGGTCAATATCCCAAGCAGATGGGACTCTGTGTTCAGAAACCAACCAGAAATGCAGAGCGGAGGGCAGAACATGCTGAACCAGAACGACCTGCATTCTGGCTGGAGTGCAGTGACCAGTGGCAGTTGGCTGACCTGCTTGCTATGTGTGGCCGGGACTTGTGAGCCCTGTGAAGGAGTGTGGCATTTATCTGGAAGTGTATTCTGCAAGTGTTTTCAGCAAGGGAGCTCCTGTTTCCCACAGGAAGTGCCTTTACCTCTCCTCCCTGTGTGATGGAATCCTGCCTCCCCCAGCAGGAGCCAGCCAGTGGGACTCAGTCAGGCACTGGAGCTCGGAAGGAAAATGAGTGAGGGACTTGGGGGGTTTCCGCCAGGGGAAAGTGCCAAGGAATGGAGGGACAGGGGCTGGGGCCGGGGGTCAGCTGTGGAACTTGAGGCCGAGGCATGGTCTGAGTTTGGATTTAGGATCTGGGGGCTGACTTCTGGCACAGGAGGCAAAGTTGGGACTGAGGATGAGAGGAGGGTTCCAGAATCTGGAGCAGGGGTTCGGTGAGGAATTTGCTCTGACGTTTCAAGACAGATTTGGGGTTAAGATTTGGAGCTGGGTTTGGAAATGAGGCTGGGGGTTGAGACTGAGATTTGAGATTCAGGGTTGAGGCTAAGATGTGGGGTGAGGGCTGGGGTTG